AATTTTTATTTATTTAAAGTAAAAACTTTTATTTTTAAGAATAATAGTTCATTTGATGTAATTAGATCGTAAGTATTTAAAAAATGTTAAATAAATTTCGTTTTTTTTAAAACAATATAATATGTTTGATGTTTGGATTTTAGTATATATGCCTATACAAAAACAGAAAAACTTCCTGTAATAATAAGAAAAGTTATAGAACACACATAGTAAAACTTCTCGGAATTTCAAGAATCTTTCTCCAATTTTTCAGCAAATATTATTAATTTTTTAGGAAAAATTATTATATTTGCACTAGTATTTCTTATGTTTATACTCAATATTTCCTACTTTTTTCAGTTGAGAAAGCCAATTTTTTAAGAATCGTTGCTATATTTGTAATAAAATTTCTCTTTTTTTCAATCAGCTTTGCTAGTTTTTTTGGGGATTATTGCAACAAATAAGAGAAATTTTTCTAGTTTAACATTGAGTTTTCCTAATTTTTTCAGCTAATTATCCATTCTTTTTTGGAATTATTACTATTATTATAGTAATATTTCTCATATTGGCATTAAAATTTTCTCATTTTTATTAGGAAATATTACTAGTTTTTTAAGAAACGTTGTTATATTTATGGCAATCTTTCTTACATTGACACTGTGTTGTTCCTATTTTTGTTAGTAAATATTGTTCATTTTTTAACAAGCATTACTTCAATTAAAGCAGGAATTCTCTGTTTTTTAGCTTATTTTAAACATTTTTGGACAAATTTTGTTATAACTATTTAGAATTGCTCTTGAATTTTCGTATCTAATTCCCATATTTTGAAAATTTTTAGTGTAAACTCATATAATTTTATGAAATATTCTTAAAAAAATTGTTCTTATCATTATTAGCACGAGAATTGTTATAAAAAAATATTAAGTGTTTGTTAAACAAACTGGTCTAAATTTCCAAAAAAAAATAGGAATAATTCTAAAAAATCTCCACTATACCGCTTATTCTCATAAAAATAGGACTAATGTTTCAAAAAACGGGTAATCGCTCCTATTTCTTTTTTCAGTGTACGTATACATATTATATATATGTATACATATTCATTTAGAAATCTTTACAAACCAAGAAACAAATTAGAGTCAAAATGTAAGTTAGACAAAAAGCAAAGAATAAATACGAACCAAAAATTATTCAATTTCCTATACTTAATATGTTCAAAATTCAACTTAGTTGCAATTACCATAAATTTGCAATTCTAATTACATATTTAAGATTTTCCACTTCCCGAATTAGAAAATTGTTTTTCACTTCACTTAATATGCAAATATGAAATAATTACAGGACATGTTCTATTTTTATTAATGTTAAGACCTAAAAATGTCAAAACAACAATATTTTTTTTAATTCATAACCATATTTTGAATATTTTTAATAGACAGATGGCAAGATCACATTTTTCAATTTTAATTTCAAATAAAATCAACAAAATATAATTAATTTTTATTATAGGGAAAAACAATATTTTCTAAATTCAAATTTAGAATTAAATAAATTTAAAATGTGCATATTTTAATTTATTTTGCACTAAATATTTAACTTCAATATTAAGATCTTAATAATTTTAATATTTTATATTATTCTATATTATTTGTATATATATAAAATGTTTTTGTTCTTGCTTTTACAACCACAATCATTCAATATAATTTTATGCAAAGCTCTACAAATATTTACTTTTTGCCTTGAATTTACTTGATAAAGAACTTGTGGTTTTTAATTTATTATAATTGAAATGTTGTAATATTATTATTGTAATTTTATATTAATAGATTTTAAAAAATAAGAAAAAAAAATTTAAAAAATTTAGATTAAATAAAATTTGTTTTAGTGACCTTAATTTTATCTATATATTATACATACATACTCGTAGTTCAATGACATTTTGTTTAGAAGTTGTTTTTTTTTGATAAGCTCATTTGGTACATGAATTGAAAGTGCATGTGCAACATAAGTGCATGCAATAATAAATTTATTGTTAAATTTATCATTTTATGTAGAATTAAAATTTAAACTTGCATATTATACTCATTACACGAGGTTTTTAATCTGATGTCCTATATACATATATTAAGAATTTGTACAGATGTTTTGAAAAATTTTAATATTTATTTATATATAGGTATTGCAATATATTGAAAAATAATATTTGTTTTTAAATTACAATATATATATATATTCCAAAGTACGAAAATTAAATGAAATATAGCGAACGAATTCAGTTTGTAATGTATTCAAAATTTTAATTCGAACATTTTTAATCCAATAACGTAATCGAATTATCACCCTTATTACTCACCATAGATGAGAAGAAAATGAATGAGTTTCTAATTATAACGCATAAGCGTATAATATAATTTTCAACTTAGAAGAATTTATTCAAATAAAATTAACGATTGAGTTAAAAAAATGTGATACTATATTAAAATATCAATATTAACAAACCAGACTTATTATTACTCGAATTTTATTGTAAAATAACATAAATTACCTCTAAAATATATTTATAATGTCTAAAAACTGATATGTTTGTTGCATAATCAGGGGTTAAATTGCAATTTCTGTTACGTTAATTTTTCCTCAATTTTTGCTTCTTATTAGATTATTATAACATTTGCGGCAATATTCAAAAAACTGTGATATTCAAGAGCACGCCTTATAAGGAGTAACTGCATCTATCAACTCTACTTTGAGTTTATTTCAATCCTATTTTTCATTAAAATCTTTTAAAATTTCATTCTACATCACTTTTCCACTAAATTAAACTAAAAATATTTGTTCTTATAAAATTTTTATTAATGTAGTTCCTTTATAATATTAGCATATTATTTTTTTTATACAAAATACACAAATTAATCGTATATACTTAATTGAATATATTAATAAATCTTAATAACAAAAAAAAAAAAATATTTAATCAAATTACTCGAATTAAATAATAAAATTTAATATTTATTAAAAAAAAAAATATTCCTCAAGCTATTATTATTATTGTACCGGTAGCGAACACGGAATTCAACTAAAAATTATTTTAAAAAAAACAAAAGAAAAAAACATAAGTAAATTTCCGTCTGTTATGGAATTGTAAGAAGCCGGATCATAAAATTTTCATTATAACAAGAAAAAAACAATGTAACATAAAAATGTTCTTATACAATAATATTTAATTTAATTTCATGCACACATATTAATAATATAAATATATATATAAAAATACTTAATATACTAATTATGAATTAGTCAAGTAAAAAATTAATAAATTTTGGTCAAACCAATGATTTATAAAGTAGCACTTTTCCTTTTAATAACTGAACATACTGCTTCTAAATTACTTTAATTTATTTAACAAAATATTTGAAATAATTGCATACATTTAGGGATTAGAAAAAAAAAACTAATTTAAAAGATCGAATAAGAGGGTTAATTGCATTAGTTAAGAAAAATTATTATATTTTCTTATGGCGTGGTATTTACCGTTAATTTTGTTTAGTTAGAAATTTGGAAATCTACATAGTTTCGAGAATATATAAGGTGCTGTAAATTTAAATTTTAAAAATTTCAAGAGATGGTGATTTAAGTGGGGATGGAGATGGAAAAAAATTAATTATATAAGTAAAAATTTATGTATATTTAAAATAAGAACTGAGGGGTGTAGAAGTTTTGACAACATATACACGGATCAAACGGACGGAAACATGGTGTGAAACTAATAAGCACATTTTTTCAATTTTTTTTTGGGAAAAATGCTAAATAGCAATTAAAAAAAAAAATAAACAAAAAAAACATGAACGACATCAACAATAAAATTTATTATGACCCATAAGACATTTTGTGTATATCAAAAAAAAAATTATCACAAATAAACTTTGATCTGTAGAATTTCCTTCACATATACTTATTTATTATACATAATTGTTATTTATATTTACAAAAATAAAATTAAGTTCAACAAGTACAAATGGATAATTTTTTTTCTTTTTGGTAGATATAATTTCCCTCTAACTAAAGGATATTACTAAATTAATTCACTTAAATTAAAGTAAAATTTATTATTTTGTTATATTGTTAATTAAAATATTTAAACAATTACAGTTAAAATAACCTGAAAATCTGGTTATATATAAATTGTTCAATTAAAATAAAATTGGGAATCTAAATCTTTATAATATTATTTTGAAATTTTCGATTTTTCCTATATAAAAATGGATTTTGTATTTGAATATAATTCAGCAACAGGAGAACCATATAATATTCCGTAAAAAGATGCCTGTATAACATGTGTACAAATTCATAATAACTGTTCTATTGAGTATTTATTTGATTCTCGCGGTTATTAACATTGCATTAATATTAAAATGGAAAACATTACAATCAAAATAATGGAAAAATTACATTGTATGAAAAGAGAATGTGATAAAGAATTTGAAACGTACTTATTATCTGAAACTGAAATAGAAAATGATTCAAACATTCTAAACACATATTCTGACCAATTTATTTCTTATCAAAAAATAAACACTCATTAATATAAATTTAATCAGTATGGTCATGAAATGTTTTCATATGTTTATTAATAAATGCCTATGATGACACAATATTTTATTTATTAATATTAAATATTTAAAAATATTTAATTTGAATATATTATTATTGTTTAAAGAAGGCATATTTTAATGGAAAAATTTTTATATGTATAAGTAAATTGTTATCAAAAATTTTACAGGTTTTTGTATAATAAATCAAAAAATTTAGTAATTAATCTCAGTCAATTTTTATTATTGCACATTTATTTATATTAAATTTTTGAATATTTTTTTTTTCAAAAGAAAAAAAGATTATTGACTTCCTTTATTGTAATCAAAATAAATAAATAAATTCATAATATTTTGAATGCAAAATATTTAATTTATAAAAATTAATAAAAATAATAATTGAAATATTTATTTTTTTTTTTAATATAATTTCAGCTTTACCATTAATTTATCATTTAAATAATACAAGGACATTTTTAGCTGGTTTAAATAGTATGAAAGAATCAACTGATTCTGATCCATTTTCTGGTGTATTAAAAGCAACAGAATTAATACCATACGATAGTGCTGTATTTATTTGTGCTGAAACAGTTGAACCAAATCCAGAATTAGCTAATTATGCTGGTATTTTATTATTAAAGAAACGTATTAAAGTAAGTATTATATTAGATCTCAAATTTACAAATTGAAATTATTATTTTCAAATTGAAGAGAATTAATACAGTTATCTACGTTATAATTAAATATTAAACAGAAAATTTTATTGAAATCACATAAATAAATCACAATAATTTACGCCAAAAGTTATGCAATTATTTTCAAATTAAATTTTCAGTTTTATTGATTTTCTCTTTTTTCATTTTTTTTTCTCTCTATTTTTTTCTTTTCTTTTCATTTTAGCTATATTTAATATGGTTTGGCGATAGAAAATCAAAAGATACAAATGAACCAGTTGGTGGTATGCTTGGAAAAATTGCATTAAGATCAGGTGGTGAAATTATTTATATGGATGATATGAATAATATAGAAAATAGCTCAAATGATTTAGAAGATAATATGGTAATTTTAAATTTACAAAAATAAAAAAAAATAATAATAAAAAATGTAATATAACAATTTCTTTCTTGCATTTAATTTAAAAAAATGTATGACCTTATTGCAAACACAATCTGTTAGAAGACAATATTTAAACAAAAACCAAAATATTTTGGAAAAAAAAATTGAATCATAGTATTATGTCAATTTTAGTGTCTTTTTTACTGTCATTTAACTACTACACACATAATTAGTAACAGCACAAAAATTTTCAATGCAATTCGTAAACTGCTTTAACTTTTTGTCCTCATACAACAAACATTTCTAACATATACATATATGGACATATCCAACTAAGACAATGCGATTAATCACTTAAAAACTTTATGTTTTGTAAATATATGCATGTTTCAAATTCATGCTCAAAATTTTAAGAGAGAATATGAGAAATTTCTTTACCATTAGTCTGACAATAACAGTCTTGCGATATTCAGGAATTTTTTCCATATTATGGGAATTTGAAGAAAAAAAAAATTTAAAATGAAAAAGGAAATTTAACAAAAATTTATGGGATTTTTTAGAAATCACAATAATTTCAGCCAGATATTCTTAGAATTGAACAATGTTTCTGAATTGCAAATGTTTCTGGAATTTTTTTACTTCAATCACATTTTGTATGAAAATAACTTTATTATTAATTTTACTGCGTCAAATCTAAGGCTGTTAGCCTTATGACTTCTCACAAGACCATTTTTTTTTACTGTCGGAGTTTGCTAAATGTTTTTAACGTTTCCTGAATGTGAGAACATTTTTTTAAATTGTTTTGTTGGATCAAGATTAAGCAGTGAAATTCAGATATTTAAATATCGCAAAACTGAACGATACAGATCTCACTATTAAATAATCATCATAAATTTTACAACATTTTTATATATTTTATATTTTATATATTACATTATTCAAGAAATATTGAATATATTAAAATTATATAAAAATTAATCAATTTATTTCTTTATATATTACATATAGATAACTTTAGTATCAGACAGATTTAGCGGATCACAAGAAATTGATATACCAATTGATACAACAGTATCAAGTATACAAATGAAAATTGATTCACAGATGAGAACAGCAACGCTAGAGACTCCTACTGGTGGTTAGTTGAAAAAAAAAATCTAAATTTTATACCATTTTACATACTTGTATAAATTCAAAAAAAAAAAAATTTTTTTTTACATACTATATTATATATGTATATTTATGCATTAATATCAATGTTCTTTATATATAATTTAATTATATACTTACATATATACATATACTTATATCCTTATAAATATTTTAATTTAAATTAATTTAAATACAAGTTTATCATTTAAGAATAATATATATCAATCATATTGATCATTGAGAAAACAAAAAAAAAAAAACAAAAAAATATAATATATAAAAATAATATTAAACTTTAATTTAATTTATTCAAAAAATAAAAATACAAAAAAAAATGAAAAGAAATCATAAAGTACTTAAATATCCTAAAATACATAAATGAAAATATATGAAATTTAGTTTGATCTCTTGAATTGAAAAGAATTAACATATACACCAACAAAACAGCCAATCAACACACCCACACAACCACAATATTCACACAGATATTACACTAATTTCAAATAATCGTTAACAATAAATCAAATAAAATTTTAATAATTATCCCTTAAATCCAATAACATGTCAAATTAAAATTATGTTATAAATGGATTTATGGTATTTGGTGGAAAAAATTAAATTTATTATTATTGTCAAATTTTATATAAAATAATATAAAAAAATTCTAAATTAAACAGTAAAAATAGAAAAAGCATTTGATTTAAATATATATTGAAAAATATTCCACGTAAAATCTTTCCTTTACACAAATCTTTCTTTGACATACCGTGTCATCTATTTTACAATCGTACAATATCACAAACAGTCTTGTTGTGTTGCAAAAAAAAAATGCATTGCCTACAATTTGTATTTTGGATTATAATTTGAAACTTTTATTAGACGTCACCAATTATTGTCACATAATTTGACAATTCTATTCTTTAAAATTTGACAATTCTATTCTTTAAAAATTTTTAAATAATTTATACCTAACAATGGAACCATATCTGTTTTAGTAGAAGGACCATTTTCTGGGTAATGCATATCAAATGCAAACACAAAAACTTTATTTGCGCTATGAACATTTTTTTTGCATCTACAAAATGTAAACTTCATATAAATTATGACATTATCAACAAATTTTGGTTTGCAACTTGGATTATGTTGTATTGTTAACTTTATGTTTAATATGCAAAATTAATGTTACGGATAAGTATTAAAAATACATATTTAAAATTTGTCATTAATGATATAAAAATTTCTTAATTAGGACGTCGTATTTTTAAACTTTAATTTTTCAAGTAATGAATGTTATTTTGCAAGATTTAATTTAAAAATTTTGCAAGATATTCCAACTTAAACTTCAATATCACTTTAAAGAAATCTGCCAAGAAATATGTGGCTAAACTTTACATAATGCTTAAAAATAGAGAACAAAAACTATCAATCAAATACTCCATTACATATTATGCAACATAAATAATTTTAATAATTTTTCCCCAGTGCTTAGAATTTCTTTAAAAATTCATATTCTTCAATTGAAGGATTTTGATGTCAATACGTGTGAAAGAAGGCGTAAACATGTTTTAATTAATAATACCCCAATTTTTAACACTATTCCATAAACTCCACAAAAAAACACTTTTTACACTACAAAGTGAAATCTCGATATGATTTTATTTTATATTACTGAAGTACAGAAAATCAAATTTGTAAAAATTAATGAAATTTTCTTTTAAGTAGAAAACCGCCTATTTAAATGGTTCTCATTAATTTAAAAATTAATTTGAAATTTAATTCTAACCATGGAAATTTAATTTGGACTTGTTTGATATTCCACGAAGTCTTTAATTGTAATCATTTTTTCAAAAAATTTAAAATAATTTCAAAATTACAACATTCTTTAATAAATAATCGAGATTTCACTATTGCAACAAATTTATAAAATTACTCAATATTAATTAATATATTTAATAGCTATATTTTTAATAATTAATTTTTAATAACTAATAAAACATATTTTGTTTTACGTTTTGTATTATAAGTCCTGTCTATTTTTAATTTAATTAATTAATTTTTACATGCATATATATACATACATATATATATATATATATATAAATTTATAAATTTTGCTTAATTTTACATAATATTAAAATATAAAGTTTATAATAGTTTTAAATTAAATTTGAGAAATAAAGTTAAAATTAACCAATAGTACAAAATATATAAAAAAAAAGAGAAAAAAAAATTCAAATAAAAATTAAAATAATGGTAAAGAAATAAAATAAAAAAAACATTTATAAAAAAAAACAAGAAAATTTTTATTTACTAACTTTTTTTGTGTTATTGTTATTGTTTTGCATTTGTATCGTCCACACCTATATTATATTTTTAGTACATACAACTAAAAACAATGGCTGAAATCAAAAAGTAAACACTGCGAAGATGTTGCAGCATTGTAACTAGCAGCATAATAAAAAAGTAATCAGTAATGAAAAAGTAATCACAAAATCAGCTGACGCAATCAATTCGTAACATAATCAATTTCTCAATATTAACTAAATATTGCGACAATGTTTAGTAAGCATTCGCAACATAAAATGTCATGTTGCTTTTGTTATTTTTTCAAATTTGCATTACCATGCTTAAAATTTTGTGTCCAAATCTTTTTTTTTAATTGAAATAATAAAATTCTTACAAAATCGCTTAAATTACTAATCAGATTGTAATATTCACCAGTTCAAATCAAGCAGACAAAATTTAACATGATTGCATAAAAGATTTGCGATGGCCCAGGATACAAATTCCCTCGTAACATAATATGGCAGTGTTACAGCAACATCGCAGTATTACATTTTGTATGTTTACTTTTTGATTTGAACCAATTTCCTATGATATTAACTCAAGCTTTGTCAAAAAAAAAATTCACAGCAGCAGCAAATTGTGCATCGTCCTCTCCAAATTTTATTGTTTTTTTTTTTTGTATTTGGATAAACATTTATTTTAAATTAATGCAAAAGTAAATTTAAATTAAAATTAACTGCAATTATTATGAGTTCTATTTTGTCCTGCTTTTAAATTAAACTAATTTTTTAAATATAAAAAGTTTGTTTTTAGTTCCTGAGCATAGCCGGAGTCAACAGTTAAAGTTTTACTTTAAAAAAAAATGCTTTTTATTAATTCTTAAAATTCTAGGTAAGCTTGAAAAGCGGAGTTCTGGAAAATGAAGAGCTCTTTTGGAGATGTAAGTACCATCATTATTGCAATTTTGGAAGAGTTAAATTGAATTCAAAAACAAAATTGAGTACTTTAATTAAATGATTAATTAAGCATTGAGAACTTTTACAGGAAAATCAACTACAAAATAATTTTTTGAAAAAACAAAAATAGGTGCTACATAGTGTTATACAACAAATTATTCAATTACATTTCAAATAATTTTATTCATATTCTACTATTCTATTCTCTGTTGTAAATATTTTATAACCAACATACAATATTTTGTATATATTCTCATTAAAGCACAATAAATTACTCAATATTTTATTTTTAAATTATAACACATTATAAAATTTAATTAGGTATGTATGTGTATGTTCATAAAAAAAAATAAAGTGCACGCTTTTTGGGTGGTAATAAAATTTTGGTTTTAATATAAAAACTTGTAAGTACACACTAGAATATTAAAAAATAATTTTAGTAAAGTATGTGTTATACAAAATATATCTTTGTTATAAAATAACTAAATAAAATTATTTTTATGAATCATAGTTAAAAAAAACTTACTAATAAATTGAAAATCATTTTTTAGAAAACTTTAAATTTGTAAAAATATGTAAGGAAGTAAAATTAAAGTTTGATTTCTGAGATTAAAATTACTAGAGTGTTATAATCAAAAATTTTTTATTTCTAATAAAACTTTTAATGTGTATCTGTTATACAGAAATATGCAAAACAATTATAATTCTCTTCCATGGCGATCGGTTCTACGTACCGGAAAGACCCTGGTAATCAACAGAAGTTACGCTCCAGGCCAAAAATCGTCACCTCGACTACAGATCCGGAGCCGCTACAACAACAACAAGAATTATTACTAACGATGACATTTGAGATTTGTTGAAATTAATGGAAAAATCTTTTAGGATTTTCTGTTTATTAAAAATGATATTGCTACAACCGTAAGAATTTAGTTTTTAAAATTAAAAATACCGTTAATCGAACTTAATGAAAATAACGGAAAATACCCGGAAAGAAAAGTAAATTGTTCTTATTTTAAAAAATATTTTTTTTAATTATTTAATTTATTTCTACTATACAATAATTAGAATTCTTTTGTATACATAGAGCATTCTATTTATAGAACTTAATATTCATAGACACATTTGTTTGTACAAAGATATACTCGTAAGTAGGAAGATATTCACATAATATTAATAAATATGCATGTACATATACGCATATATTCGTTGCTAAATCTCTTTTGAATTTCAAACAAAATAATTTTAACCTTGAAAAATTACAATAAAATTCTCTTCTATAAAATTTATAATTAAAAGGTTAAATATTTATACATGAAGATATAAAAATTTCTATAGTATTCATTTAATAATATTTTTATTTATGAATTAAAAATGATTAGTTGCTTTTGTTCAAGTCTTTTTAAATATTGCATTTTCTTACATATTGCACATTGCATTAAACGAGCAAATTTCATATTGCTCGTTTAATATCCTTGTATAAAACAGTACACCTTCAAATCTTAAAGACATTCATCGTGCTATATACAAGCTCATAAGTACAGTACAGAAGTGATTAATTTTATATAACTAAGAGTATTTCTCCTGTAAAACTGTACTCTAACCATTTGCTGATTTTACTTCCACATGTGTCCTTATGCCATGTATGTACGCATTATTTTATACCAATTGTATTAACAGCTTTAATAAGTTTATAATTCTATGTTACAAAAATAGTTATTTACAATATGACAATAATTAATAATTTGAATATATACGAGTATGTATACGAGGGTACACCTGTTTTATATTAAATAAATGATTTCTTTTATTCCTGTTGTTTTTAGCAAAACTTAAGCAAACAATGATTAATGCAATAACATAAAAGGTTCTACTTTCATATATAATATATCAAAAAACTAATAAGTATGCGGTTTTCACACGAAAAAAAAAAACTAAAGACGTACATACGTTCATGCATCCATATTCAATTATATTCGGTTACTCACACCCCTTGACTAGGGGTTGCATTGGTGCTGAATAAAGTTAATACCGGAATTTGAATTTTTATACTGAAAAAAAAACATGCTCATCACATTCTAAAATAATGCAATTAATAAAATATCGGTAACATGCATATGGTTCCTTTAATCTCTTGTATGTTTGATTAATTTAAATTTAAATTAAATCATAAATTTTACAAAAACACTTTTCATAATATGCGCAACCCAATAGTTTATTACGATATACTTGTACGTAGATACTTGTATTGAAAAACTCAAGTAAGTGCTGCGATTTTATATTTGTAAATTTTAGAGAGCTTTTAGATAATATTCTCATATAATTAACTTTTTTTCTCATATAATTAACTTCTTGATTAAAAAAAAAATTCAATCTATGGATTTATGAATCACTATGTACGTACATATGTACAATGCATATACACACGTATGTAAAATAAAACCTTACCTATCTATATTTTATATAAATATATGTATACTTCTTCTATTTCTCTCCCTCTCTCTATGTCTATATTACAAATAAAAATCATACACATTCACTATAATTACAATAAATGTAGTTACTTTCTTTTTTTTTAACTTTTAACATTCACTTCTATTTTATTATCATTAATCATTATATAGCAGGTACATAAGCAAAAAGCACAATTTTTTTTTTATTTTAACAAGTGAAATTCAATAACTTTGTTTTATTTGAGTAAGTATAGGTTTTTCGACCAACTACGTTATTTCAATTTTTTATAAAATCTGCATGTAATTTTTACATAAAAAAAAAATATTCTCGAAAAATATAATATTTCAATTCTTTAAGCTCACTTTTTAAAAGTTAAAAATTTTATTTTTTCTAACAACGAATTAGTAATTGTTATAATAACATTTAAGTTTAAAACTTTTCTTCTTTGACAATTATTATGAAAAACTGACATTTGTTTATTTACATTATGCGCATGAACACAAAAAAAAAAAACAGCTGATTGTAAGTGTTCATGAAAAAAGATAAATATAGTACATAATCCGTATATCACTTTAAAACTGTCATACAAATGACATGCGTTTTGATATTCACAATAAAATTTTTGGTATGATTTTTTTTTCATATGTAAACTTTTTCAATTGTTTCGTTATTACTAAAACAATTCACTTTTTCATTCAAAAGAAATTGAAATATGTAAAAATTTATATAAAAAATAATTTAACAATTATTACAATATATAATAAGACTACTCATTTTTTTAATTAGATTTTTACAAATTATCGGTTGAACGACTCACTTTCAAAAACAAAATGAATAAATTTACGCAATACCAAAATAATTCTTCTCACTCGATAATTACATTGTACAAGTCTATCATAGTTACTCACTTTCTTCTCACTTTCCGAATAAAATAGCGAGATGATCAGGCCCTTATTTAATAAATTATTATAATTAGGTCCATTCACGATCTAATTTAAATTTTAACTTAGTTAACTTAATAAAAAAGAAGGAGTTTTTTTTTCAATATAAATTATTTTGATTTTTTTGACAAGTTATATTAATTTTTTCATATATTTTGACATTGTTAAAAAATTACTCAATTTTATTATTTATTAAAATTTGAGTTTTATGAAAATTTCATAAATTATTAAAAATTAGTAAACTTAGTAAAAATTCAAAAATTATTTCTTTTTATTCAATATTTATTCAATATTCTTTGTAGAAAATTGTGAATTTTCTATTTATTCTAAAATACAAATTTTTTTACAATTTTCTATTGTGAATACAGATTTAATTTTTTAAGGTTTTAATTTTCTATCACTTTTAAATTCAGAGTCAAGGCAATAATAAAATAAGCAAAAAAAATTATAATTTCAATCTTGTTAAGAGATGTCGCTTTAAGCATTATGTATATAAAAATTATTCCACAAGGAGACAAAAGCCTTTCTATTTTTAATTTGAAAAATATTTCAAAAATTTTTGGCGCTTAAAATTAAATTAAACTAAATTTTGCAATAATAAAAAATGATTTTCAAAATACATACTATCCAAAAAATTCTTTTTGTATGATTAAATGTTTATTTCAATTCTAATGTTCTTTTTTTTTAAGTGATAAATTATTTTACATTAAATGTTTTTGTTTGTAATAAAAATTTTATTAAATTAATTTTAATTAGGTACTTGCACTTAATAATAAGGTAGGTAATTAATTTTCTTGAATAAAGTTTTGAAAATGTTTTTTTTTTCCTTCTCTTTTAGAAACAATTAATTTGAAGAAATTTATGCAGTTAAAATCTAAAAAATTCATTGGTTCAACAAAAATTTATTATGAAATTAATATACCATTAGAGAAAAATAATAATTTGGATCATTTAAAACTAAAATTAATACCAAATATTTTAAATACAAATTATTGTTTATCAATTGAACTTGAAAAACCAAAAATGAATAAAGAAGAATTTTTATCAAAATATGGTGAGTAATGTGTAATAACATTTCAATTGTAAAATGAAACTGGATGCATTAGAAAAATACTGTTTTTTTATATTAAATAAAATTAAGAATATTTTTCATATTTCATCACTGACAATTCAATAATCTTGATTAAATTACCTAAATAAAAATTCCCCACAGTTAATATTCAAAAATGTTTAACATTTTTTTGTTAATTTTAAGATCCGATATCCGTGAATATTTTCTTTTTAATAGAAAATATTACAGTTCATTATAACTTTAGAACAATAAAACACAATTGCATGTATGTATAAGTGTTATACAAGAATACTTTTTTATTATTAAATTTAAGATTTTTGAATTATTTAAAATTTTGTTTAATTTATATAATTAAATAATATTAAAATTCGATTTATTCACTTCTTTACTCATTAATTTCAATAATAAACTAATTTAATTCAAATAATAATTTCATTCTAAATATAACATATGTATGTTTTCAAAGTAAAATATTCTTTATAAATATTTTTAATTACTTATTTTTTTTATATATGTACATAAAAGAAATTATATAAAATAAATTTCAAAAAAAAATTATAGCTAGTTGTCACAACTTTAGGATATTTATGAAATTTTATAATTTTTCCTCACAAATAGGAAAGGTAAAGATCGCCCAACAAGTTTTACAACAATGTAAAATTAACAATCTAATTGTGTATCTCACTATCAAATTGGAATTCTCATTGCTTTAATTGAATATGTCATTTTTCCAATAAGATAATTCATTTTTACAAATATATTTTCGTACTCTTACTTAAAATATCAACTGAACCTACCACCGCACATCTTTAAAAACAAAGTGAATAATTATATTTTGTATATAATTTTAGAAAAAACAATATATACGCAATACGAAAAAAAATCCTTCTCACTCATATAACAATTGGAGAAACAAATTAATAATACCTTTTTTCAAAAACTATATGCAAGAATATTAGAATTTATATTTTGCGTAATTAAACATATTTTTAATCTTTTATTATTTTGAATACCTCAATCATATTTTAATCAAATATGTATTACACAATTATATACTCGTATAATATTAAAACAAAAAAATAAATAAATAAATAAAGTCAACAGTTGGAGGAAATGGAAGATAAGGTTCTATTCATATAATCAATAATTATTTTGATTATAATTTTTCTAAATAGTTTCTTATTTCACTGAATCTTTTTGAAAGTTACTTATAATATACATACATAATTTAATTTTGTGTAACAAATAATATTTCACATACGTGCACATGTGTTTTGAAATTACGAGTATATTAAAATTTCAAAAATAAATTTTGTTTTTATATTACATAAAAAAATTATTAAATGGCGAAAAATATAATTATGTAACTTTATTTGTAAATAGCACCGTGGTAATTAAGATCAGCAGTTAATAAGTCAAAAGTAACATATAAATATTCACAGTTGCAATAGAAAAATTTATAATTATAAGAGCTGTCCAATTAAATGCTAAAATTCAAATTAAATACTAGCAGAAAGCAAACATAAGACATTTACCAAAAAGTAAATCTAACGTCAATCTGATTTTTTCATCAATACAATTCAAATTGCTGAATAAGTCAAATTGACGTTAGATTTATGTACATTTTGGTAGGCACCCATATTTGCTATTATACTAATAATATACTGAAATGAATTTTGTAAATAAAATAAATGTATAAATCTATCTTTATTATAATTTTTAAATTTTTAAATAATTTTTCTACTACATATATAATTTATTAGCATTAAATTTAATAATGATTTGATAACCTGTGATAAAGTAAACAAACGCCACCAATTAAGAATTTTACTACAAAAAATAAAAAATTGATAATTGTATTGTGTGTCAACTCAATATTATCATTATTTGTACATACATGCTTCTGTTTAAATCACTCAACCATTCAAATCACGCGATAAAAATTATTTAATTTTTATGTTATTATTTGAAGAAAAAATTTAACTAAAATACAATATGAACTAAGAGGAAAACAGTAATTTAATTAAAAGGGATGTTTGCAACCTAATTATTAATTAAATTTGTTTGAAATTTTTTAATTTCAATTAAAATAAAATAAATTGCAGAACAACTTTAAAAAATCATTTTATTGATTTAAGATTAATTAAGCTTATTCTGTAATTTTTATTGGTTTAATTGTAAAAAGAGTCTAAATACTAGGAATGGGAATATGTACACCGATTTATTACAAATTCTATAAAAGGTAGAAAGTATAGGATTTAGTTAATGTACCTCCGAGAAAAATATAAATTTGATTGTTAGTAGAGGTTCATTTTGATCGTAATTCGATTTTTCTGCAAAGTTTTGCAGTTAATTTCGTTAAAAACCAAAATTTAAATATTAAATTTCAAGAAATTCCAATAATTGATTCCTGAAATATGGTCAAATATGTAAAATGCGCCACTAATTAAAGTTTTGTTTCCCTGTTAATATTTACTGTTTAAATGTTTTATTAACCAGATTTTAAGTATAAGATTCCAAGTAAATTGGTTAAGGTACTGTACAGACTGAAAGACTCAGATAAACAGACACACAAAGAAGCAAGCAGACCAATATATGTAAATCTTCCTAAAAAACGTTTATTTACGATTTTCTACAACTGGAAAAATACATTTCCGTTGCGAATTCGACATAAAAACTTTGGTGTCATCACATAACTTTCCTTATTGCACGCAATCCGGTCGGTAATAACTCAAAAATTTTCCAGTACTAATTTAAATTTAAATGTGAGATATTTTCTGCGTTATATAAAAAATATTTTCATTTAAAATTCGAAGCTAGTGTAGAAATAATTATTTATCATAATTAATTTTTGCAATATAACTATTCCAAAGGCAAATATATAAACAACATTGTTCTAATAACTTATTCTAATTATTAATTTAAATTGTTTTAAAACTAGTTTTGTATATTAAAATTCAAAATAAAAATACTCGGATTTTCCTTTAATTTCTTTAATTTTCAATGTAAAAACTAATTATGGGAAATCACAACTTTATCATAAAAAAATTAAAAAGCTTTTTCATTACTTCATATTTAATGTATGTAAATGAAATTCAAAAATGTATTTGATTAAAATTCCTTCTCATTTTTGATTACTTGTAAATTTTAACAGACTCAGATACTTAAATCAATTAACTACAGATAAGTACTTAAAACCTATATAATTGAATAATAACACAATTATTATCGTGAATTTATTTTATAATCTACTTATATTAGATTAGATTTTTCAAATTATTTTTATTATTTTATGCTTCATAACGAATCAGGCATTGTTTATTATACTAAAAATAGAATTTAAAAGCAGATACAATTTCATAAAGTTTTAAACCTTGTTAAGAAATTTTAATAGTTCGACAACAAATTTAATGATTTTTTAATGTTACATGACTTGTATTAAACAACATAGATTTTTTTAGCAATATTTTAATATTACTTTCAAGAAAAAAATATAAAATAATCTCACTTTAGATAACGAAATTTTCTTCAAGCCATTTTGCAATTTATTTATTAAGTATTAATTAAGGTTTAGTAGTCCTGAAAATCGAAAAACTACAAATGTCATATGTCAATTTCGAATTATTAAAATTCTGATATAAATATTCGAGTACTCAAATATTCGTAAAAGAGTAATCGCATAAATTAAAAATAAAATGTCAAAAGGTTAGGGAGAAATAATCAAACGTAACAAGTAAAAAAGGTCGTTTTAAATTTTTAAGTTTTAAATTTTTTGTTTTGCTATTGCTGATTCATAATGTCTACGAATGGAATTTGAGATCATTCAAAAGTCTCGTAATTCGTAGGATTATACAAATAGAATTCATGATAGGACTGTACATCAAATTTGCCTTTTTTTTCTAAAATTCCGCAGAGATTAATGCTCTCTTAATAAGTTAAAATTGCTGAAAAAAAACTTGCAATTTTTAATTATTGCTCAGGAATCAGGAATTTTAATTATTTTCCATAATTAACAGAAATAACAATAAAAATTTTAATATTGATTTTTTAGGAAATGAATTCGATGATATGATTAACTATATAAAAAGTTCGGATCAAAGCATTAAAAAATATAGACAAGGACGACTTGAAAACAATGTTTTTTCACATGAAAATATACGTTTTCCATATGATAATGAAACCATATTAAATCCAAAAGATTTAGAAGTTGAAACTATTGATATAAATACGAATGAAACGAATGAAGCTCAACAAATTGGTGGTGGTATTGGAAGTTCATCATTATTTTCTATTACAAAAATCGATTTAGGTGTAACATCACAATTATTAGTTTATCCAGGAATGGAAGCACATATTGATTATGAAGTTACAAATTTAAGAGAAGAATCAGTTTTTCATACAATTAGAGTTGTTGATACAAAATCATATTTAAGAGCTGTAACACCAAATAGGTATTTACTTAAATAGTTTTGTATTTCAAAATGTTTAAAAACTAAATATTTTTTTTAGCATATTTATACGACCTGGAGAAACATTAACGGTACGTTTATTTTTATTAATACCACCAGGAGCTAAAATTGGAACTGTTGATGATATAACATTCACTTTAGAAGGACAAAATCAAGTAACACAATCGGCTCAATTGAAAATTATTTCAAGAGATGAAAATCAAGTAAATAAGACAACAATAAATAAGATTTATATAATATAACTAAATAAATAAAAATATATTTTTAAAATATTTTAGGATCGTAATCCACCGTATGTTACATGGTCATTTGGAACACGATGCGAGAATACATATTATAATCAACGTGAATGTAATTCAAAATTTTGGACATTAGATGTTTTTGCACAAGATTATGAAACTGGTTTATTACGTATATCATCGACACCAAATGGTATAATACCAAGATCACCATTTACAGCTGGTACAACAGAACCAGTACGTACTGTATATACATCAAGTTGTTGTGAACCAAGAGTTACAATAATGGTATATGATGTAGCTGGTAATCAAAGAACATATACAATTGATGTACGTGATATTGTATTAACAGAAGCATCAATTGCTGCTATTGTATTAGGTGTTATATTATTAATACTTTTAATTGGCCTGTTAATTGGCTTAATTGTATGGTGTTGTAAAAGAAAACGTTCAAGATCAAGAGATTTGTCCTTTCGTAGTCACCCGGAGAGAGTTAGATAATTTTTAAAAAAAAATATTTTTCTGCCATTTTTAGTTCTAAGAAAATTTTAATTTTTTTATGAGAAATTTCTTCTGATATACAAACAGTATTTATTGATTTTTTATTTTATAAAATTATAAATTAAAATTAAATTTTTCTTTTTAGTATTTTATATGTTTTCTGGTTATGGGTAAAAAGAGTATATGTATTTAAAAATTTAAAGAAGAATTTAAAATTTAGAATAAGTAATTAGTTAATAATGGCTGCCAAAGTATTTAAAAGAGAAAAGTATTAATAATTAACAAATTAAAAAACAGAACTTGTACAAAACAAATATAAAATTTGAAATAAGTATGATTTTTTTTTTAGAATATTAAAGTTTAATAAATTCATATTCAAAATTGATTAATTATTTATTGAATTATCAGTCGATGATTTATTAAATATTTAAAGTAGAAAATACCAAAGTATTATTCAATATTCCCGGAAAATAATTATTTAGAAACTGGACTAGATTGCTTTCGCAAAGAACTGATAAAAAAAATGCTTTCGTCTTTGGAAAACCCCTATTTTAATGCAAATGAATTCAGTATAGCTATGAATTACTTATATGAATGAAAATATAAATTTTATAAAGCTTGTACTCACAACCATAATTGTTATTTTTATTGAATGCTAATTGAAAGTTAAAATTGGTGTAAAATTTCAAAACAATAATTAATCAGTTTGTTACTTTTAGGTTTTTATTTTTGCGAAATATTTTTAAGAAGTAAATTTTTTTCGCAAATAAGTGGGTAGGTTATACCCACCTTTTTAGGTATCTTCTAACCCTATTAGTTAGCTATAATTGAAGTGTAGCTTATACATAAATGAAACTCCTAACCAAATATTTGCTTAAAATGAATGAAATCTTTTGATTTGTTTTTTTTTTTCATTAACTTAATTATGATCTACGTATTCAGTGCATTTGAAATTTGAATTAATTTGTGGATTGATTTATCAGAATCATGACATACTCGGATATGTTACTCATAAAAATAAGTCTATCTTTCAAAGATCACATTATAATTATCGTTTAACAATTAAAAATTGTATTTGGAGCATAATTAAAATTTTAATCAATTTAAATTCAAATCTATTCCTTTATTAGGTTTATAATACCTACTTTATAAAAGAAATCGCCAGGGCAAATATTTATATTAAATACTAAGTCACACCAAAAATATTTACATACATAATGTGCATACATACTTTGTATAAGTGAGTAAGTATGTATTTACATGAAAATAGGTCGAATACATTTTTAAAGAGATTGAAATAGAAAAAGTCTAATACAATTCACGCGAATGAATTTCTATGACATGATTTCTCTTTACATTTTATTTTATACAGAAAGATATACATCTCTATATATAGATACTTCTTTGTACATCAAAATGTAATCAGTTTGGCACGGTCTGAGACTGATTAAATACCTTTATATTAAAATTTCGCAAAGATGAACTACATAATATTTAGTTTAGATGAAGTTATGCAAAGAAAAGTTATGAAGAAAGTTCATATTTCGAATTCTACAAAATCCTAATATATAATGCTTAATATTTACCTGATACATCTTCCGTAATTGCATGAATTATTGGTGGTGCAGCTGGTAATATAACCGGTTTGTTTTGAAAATCATCAAATGTTAAATTTGTTACATTCGCACTTAATAAAGGATTATTTACGATTCGTGACGTTGATGATGACGACGTGTCACCCTTAGATTTTTCTGACATTTTTTCCACTTTAAATAATTTTTATTTTACAATTAATTTATATTTTATGCAAATATTTTTTTCAAAATTAAGAAAAATAAATTGATAAAAACTCAAAAAAAAAGTTTTATACACTTGTTTTAAAAAGATAAACTGAAAGATTCTAAAAATTTTATTGCAATGGAAATCATATCAATAAAAGTTATTTTTTATAGAATAACAGTTTATGAAAAGCTTAAAGGTGCGAAAACCGATAAACTGATAAGAAAATCAAATTAATATTTCTTATTGTTCAAACTTCTTTTTCGAAGAATAAAAGAGTAAATCAAAAAATAAAAAAAAAACAGACAAAACTATCCACAATAATTAGGCAATTGACAGCTGACACAAAAAACCCAAATACCACACGTGTCATAAAAATGACAAAAATTAACTACATATATATTTTCTTCTTATCGATTGTAGTGCCATGGCATAAAATATTTAAGGAAATTTATCGAAATTTTAAGGAAATTTCTATCCAAATACTGATACTCTTTTGTTTTTCTCCATATTCTGAGTTGACACCGACAGTTAAAATGAATTCAGCATTTCAGCTACAATTTGTAAACCACAGAAAAAAGAGAAACTTCAAAAAGGGAAGTTTTGACATTGACGTTTACTTTCATCAGTTTATTTTTCATATAAATAATGCAACAATCGGCATTTGTTTGATGATGCAAACTTTAAATATATAAATTTAATAAAATTCTTTATAATATGCTTCCTGATAATGAAATTATTAACTGCGTGCCCGGTCAAAGACTTGGGACAGTCGATGAGAATACCATTGCTGGACAAGGGGCATATGAAAGAAATGGTTCTATATATTCCACACTATTAGGAACAGTTCATGTGAGAGAGGATGGGAAGGTATTTTTGTAACTTAATTATAAAAAGAATTTTTATAAATTAAATAATTTTTAGATAAAGTATATCGAAGTGAAGGGTCACAAAGGCAAAACAATTGTTCCTGTGCCTGGGGACATTGTAACAGCTCGCGTAATGCAAGTGAATCAAAGATATGCAAAGTGTGAAATAACATGTGTAGGAGATTACATTTTGGAAAAATTTTATAAGTAAACTAATCAATTATGCCAATTTTATTTATAAATTTTGGATGTATCATTTAATCTAGGGGTATTATTAGGCGAGAAGATGTTAGAGCTAGAGAAAAAGACAAAATAGAATTATATAAATGTTATCGCCCTGGAGACATTATATTAGCAAGAGTTGTAAGTATTCAAGAATTAAAATTGTAATTATACTATCTACATCCTAATATGTTTTACAATATTCAGTATTTATTTTGTTTATATTTTCATTAATATGAGAATGAAAATAAATAAGAATATGTACTCAATCATACATACAAGTATGTAATGTACCTACATCAGTTTTGAATATAAAATTTGGCTATTTATGCATTTAACAGTTAAATATTTTAATGCTTTTAGTTACCACAAACTGAATTAGTAAATTACCAATTATCTACAGCAGAAAATGAATTAGGAGTAGTTGTGGCAGTCGTTAAGGAAGCCGGCCCATATGCACCTCCAATGGTACCAGTTAGTTGGACCGAGATGCAATGTCCTGACACACTTATCAAAGAACCAAGAAAAGTGGCAAAAATTGTGGCGGAAAGTTCTTTGACATTTACAACTGAAAGTGAAAAAGATTCAGACCCAAAATCAAATGAAAAGAATAAAGAAAATTAAACACCAAAATATATTTTATTTTATATTAGACCTGTTATAAATAGTTGATAATCTGATACAAAATTTACAACTAGTTCTGCATCTAACGATTGTTTTGCTCTTTCAAATAGTATTGTTAACTGTTTTGGATTTCCATGATCCCTTTCAAACCTTAAATAATTTAACCAAATTTGTATACTAGACTTTCCAAACAGGTTTGTGGCATTTTCATAACATTTTCTCCAGCGAGCAATATTCGGTTTTAGCTATAAAAATTGATTAAACTATAGTTTTCATAAAACTTTTGAGAGTTTATTTGACATTATTTACCTGTGTAGATTCCAAGTATGCCATTGTTTCATGCAATGTTAAAACTGCCGGACTCAATAGCGTTAATTCGTCATACAATTTTCTTGTTAATTCAAAATCTTCTTTTACCAATGCAGTGTACTCTAAATAATCAACTCTAAAATTCAAAAAATCTTCAGCAGTTTCTTTGCAGACTTCATTGTATATTGAATCCAATCTATCATAGCAATCTGGTTTTGTTTGATAGTATTGGAGTAAAATTTTGTATAATTTTGCAGATGAAGATCCTAATTTATCTTTAGCTTTCCTAAATGACTCTTCTACCATTGTGGCATCGTCTTTGATAGTATAGAATGTGGTTAAATGTTCCCACAGTTTTATGCTTTGAGGATATCTTTCGACAGCTGAATTCATTATCTATAAACACATTTGTTTAGGTTTTGTTAGAAAAATAATATTATTTATGTTACCTCAATCAAATAATCCCAAGGTCCAACTTTGTCTTCCTTTAATAAATCTATATATAAATCATAAAAATATTCCGACATAAAATTAGCTTCATGTGCCGCTTTTAAAGCTGATCCTAACTTTTCTCTTTTATAATTTTTTTGTGTTGATAAATCTTGATTTAACTCCAGCATTGCATTCAAATAATAGTTCCACATTGCTTCAGTTTTGATCTGAAATAAAATAAATCTTATTCTAAATTGTACAATATTTTAATAAATTCCAACCATACCTCTCTTACGGCACTTCGATACATTGTCACACAACATTTAATTCTTTGTTTTAAAGTTTTTTTCTCGAATCCTGGAGCAGAGGATCTTGCAAATGATATCAGTGATCTCGCATTATCTTTTTGATCTTCTGAACTTAACTGTGAGGCAATGTTTGCCTCTTCATCTGGTTTATCCAAATTACTAAAACTAAACCCTTTTAATTCGCGCTGAGCAAAAATATGCCAAATTTTTTCACACAATGGAAATTGGGACATCATGTCGGAAATGATCATCTTTTGTAAGCCTTTTGTAAAAGGATATAACTCCGTTGTAGCTAAAACTTGAATGTAATATTCAATATCTGTAATTTTTTTCTTTGCATTTTTATAAATTATTTCAACACGTTCTAGTCCAATAGATTGTTCTGATTGCGTATTATTCTGCAACGTTAATTCTGTACTCATTTTACTGGTTTCAAATAACATTATTTTAAAGAACTCGAAGTGCATTTCGATATCATCAGGATGTCTTTGTAACCCTCGAAAAAATATTGATTTGACCCTGTCAATATCGTGTGCTTCATCATATTCAAACACTGCTGCTTCTACCCAAACATATGGTTTGTCACCATGGAACTAAAATTTTATAATCAAATAAATGATAATAATCGAAATGACACCCATATACTGTGTACTTACTTTTAACATTTTCTCATATGTCCCGGGTACTTCGAAATGGTATCCTTGTAGTTTTAGAAATTTAATATATTCAAGCCAAAATTTTAGTTTTTCCGGATAATAACTTAAACCAATTTTGTATATATTTTTTATATTATTGGCCATTGAGCTTTGCAAGCGGGAAGGACCTGAAAGACTTTCACGTGCTTTGATTCTTTTTAATAAGCTGCTTTCAAATTTTATGTACTCAACAAAATCATTAACGGTTCGACTAGGTTTCGATGTTTTAAAATGCATCCGTTCCCTTTGCTTAATTATTTCCCTTTAATTCATAAAAATACATGTTTACCACTTCTATTATAATTAAATAATTACTTACCTTATTTCTTCGTCAGAGCAAAGTTTTTTTTGCCTAATATATTCATATTCAGGAAGCAACTTTTCTCCAGAATAGCTAACAAACTCAGCCATCGTTTAATAATTTTATAAATAGCAGTTCAAGCACTAAGATTCAATATAATTACGCGATAAATAAAAAATTTAATTCGACTTTTACGAAAATATACTAGTTTATTTATTAATTGCCAACCGCAATCAAAACGAAAAACTTCAAAATTTTATTAGCACATGTTAGTTTGACATATGTACTATAAAAGCAGTGATGCCATTTATGCGTCTTTATCTAGAGGAATTTTTAAAACTTCAGTCACAAAGTATAAGCGATTTTAGGCAATTTCGTCAAAAAAAATTTAGCCATTGCTAGCAACTTTTTTTTTGCGAGTTAAACAATAGTAGTAATAATAATTAAATAGCGTTGTTTTTAGGGGATTTTCTGTTCTAAAGTTTGTGTAAATAAAGGTAATTTTCAGACATAATCTAACAACTTTTTTCTGTGAAGACAAAAATGAAAATTAAGACACAAAACAACCTCAGTACCACAGAAGTGCTAAATTAATAGACTGGCAATAGATTCTATATTTAGTTCTACTTTTCTTTATTTTTATCTATCCATTTTTCGCACGGCCGACAGAAATATGATATTTTTGTTATTTAAAGATTTTAAAGATATAAAACTATTTTAATTTGGGAACTCATATGGTTTTATCAATATATTATTTTAGTAAAATACATTATTAAAAATTTGAAATGGGTCTACTAGAAGTAATTTACTTAATTCTTAACATTTTTCCTCATAAATTGTGGAAAAAACGCATATTATTTTGTGGTACCTTGAACACGTCTATTAATTTAATTCGACTAACATCAACACTTTGATATTTGTGCAATGTCAAGATATCAATACGGCATACATGGGCATAGAGCAATAATATTGTAAACATAACCATGTTAGCATGTTCTTATTCTTAAATTAATGTTTTTAATTTAGCTGCTTAGTTTAATTAAAAAAATGGCTCAGTTTATTTTTAATAAAACATTACAAGAGTTAATAGTGGCTGCAGATCAAAAACTTGTTATTTTAGATTACCTGACACAGAAAATCAAACATGTTGTTGTGCTTCCTACGAATCTTGCTGAATTAATATCGGATTTTAAAATAGCAGATATTGCATATGATGAAGAAGAACAAGGTAGTCAAGACAAATTAAAAAATTCCCAAAATTTAAAAATAGCAATACAAAATGTTGCATTAGCTCCAAACGGTAAAACATTAGCCGTATCAACAAGTGGAATAAAAACTTTAATACTGTTTACAAAAGTTGATGAATTTAAATGGGAAATATTGTCTGTAAGGAAATCTAACAGAGCATCTAGCGCTCTAACATTTTCTCCAGATTCCAAATTAATTTTATTATGTGACAAGTCCGGCGACTGTTTTTTATATACTTGTGACATTAACCCACCAAAATGGATACTTGGTCATTTGAGTAGTATATATGATGTTAAATTTTCATTCGATGGAAAATATATATTAACCGCAGACCGTGACGAAAAAATACGTGTAACAAATTATCCAAATTCATATGAAATAGAAAGTTATTGTTTAGGACATAAAGAATATGTTTGTTCAATTGAAATATTAGAAAATCATCCTAATATATTAGTTTCTTTTTCTGGTGATAAAACTTTCAGACTTTGGAAATGGAGAGAAGGTTTGCAATCATAATAATTTTTTAACATACAATAAAAATTGATTTTTTTTGTATTGTAGGGTTGCAGCTCGTTAAAGAAGAATTACCGGCTCCTGGTGTTAAAATGGTTGTTAGAACCGTCACCAGTAATTTATATGAACTAGCTTTTTTAATTTTTCAACCAAATGATTGTTTATTCACATACACTTTAGAAATTAAAGATTACGAAACAATAAATATTACAAAAAACAAGTGCATCTCTGTACAGGAATTAATAATTACAAATATTAATTATATTGAGGGTGCATTATTGGCAAGTGTTTTTCAAAATAATAAACTTGGAATTATGTTATTTAACACAGATTCGAGTTCAGATTTAGACAAATTTCAAAATTTAAAAATGAATATTGAAACAGAATTTCAGAGTTCGACTTTAACTGAACCGGAAGATATATCAAGTTGGTTTAAAAAGAAATTTGACAATGTTTCGGATTACCTACAAAGGAAACGACAAAGGCTTGAAAGTAAAAAAAATAAAAAAACTTACAATTGAATTTAAAAATAATTATTCAAGTTGTATATATATAAATATAAAAGAAACAAAATAAATTTGTTTTTATATACTTTACACGGGTTTGTAATCTAATTTACTTTCCAATTTCTTATTGTCAGCAACCTTTCTTACTGCTTTCATAAAGTCTTCTTGAATGACATATTCACGTTCAGCTCTAAAAATATAATAATTTAAAATATAAAAAATTTAAAAATTTCATTGCTATACCTTATGGCGAAGAGACCAGCTTCTGTGCATACATTTCTTAAATCAGCTCCATTAAAATTATCAGATAGCTTAACAATAGCTTCATAATCGATCTCACCATGTTTCGTAATTGGTTGAGCATGAATTTTTAAAATTTCCAAGCGTGCCAGTTCATTTGGCAGTGGAATCTCAATTTTTCTGTCTAATCTACCTGGCCGTAACAAAGCAGGATCTAGTGTATCTGGACGATTAGTTGCCATTATCATTTTAACTTGACCCAACGTATCAAAGCCATCCATTTGATTTAATAATTCCATTAAAGTACGTTGAATTTCCCTATCAGCAGATGTACCTTCTGAAAATCTTCTTCCACCAATGGCATCGATTTCATCCATGAAAATTATGCACGGTTGATGATCACGAGCATAGTTGAACATTTCACGGATTAAACGTGCACTTTCACCTATATATTTGTCAACAATAGCACTAGAAACAACCTTCAAGAAATTTGCATCTAATTGCGAAGCAACTGCTCTTGCTAGCAAAGTTTTTCCAGTACCAGGTGGTCCATATAATAAACAGCCTTTCGGAGGAGTAATACCAACTCTCAAAAACAATTCTGGATTCAATAATGGAAGTTCAATGACTTCACGAAGTTCTCGGATTTGTTCTGACAAACCACCAATAGCCGAATATGTTACTTCTCCTGGATCTTCATGAGACATGTTATATACGAGAGGATCAACTTCTCTTGGCAAGTAACGCATTATGGTCAGTGTAGTCATGTCCAACGCTACACGAGTGCCTGATTTTAATTTTGTTTTATCTAGTTGCCTGCGACAACCCACAACGTAACGAGGGCCATTTGTTGCTTTTACAATAACTATAATACAAATACATCATCAACATAATTTTTTAAAACCGAATTAACCTTACATTTGTCTTCTGTTAATTGTTTTAAAACTTCTCCAACAATTTGCCCAACACTTTGTAAAGCTTTCAAATCATTTTCAGATTTATCATATTGTTTTGTCAGCTCTTTAACTTCTTCACGTTCTTTAAAAATTTTATTAAGATATTCATTATAAGATTCACTATAATTATTTTAAAAAATTTTTTTTTAACACTAAAGCTGTTTGTGTCAGACTTACTTTCTTTTAAACGGGACTCTACTTCTTTGTGCTCTAATAGTTTCTTGCGATAATCATATAGTGCTTTCTCACGGACTCCGTCATTTTGAGAACTCCCAGTCGTCATTTTTATTTATTTTTTTAGCTAAATATGAAAATTAATCGAAAACACTTTTATAATTTTCAATTTCTTCAAAAATTTACAATTCACTTTTTTTGACAGCTTCTTTTATGACAATTATGGAATTTTGGAAATGAAATGAATAATGTAATGTATTGTCAAAATAGAGTCTGTTCCAGATTTAAGGTTTTGAAGTATGTACGCATAAAATAACAAGAATATACTTTAAACTTTTCTGTTATAACTGAAGTACATTTAGCGTTTTAAGAAAGAGGAAATAAAATTACATAGATACGTGTATATGATATTTACCAGAAAATTTTTAATGGTTTTGACTTACCCACCTTTTAAAGTCTTGCAACATGCTTGTGGTAAACTAAAATTAATCACTTGCAGCAAACAATGGCAGCACTGAATTCTTTGACAATCCAATTTCATTACATTCCTTTTGTCATTGCAATGATTAAATAAAATTTAATACATAGACTACAGCTTTACGTATTAACATATCGATAAAATACAAAATATTTTATTACTTTGAAGTCTAAGAGGTTTTCTTGCTTTTTTTCCTTATTAAAATTATATTTAGAAGTTAGGTATCTGTGTTTTATAAGAAATTAGAAATGAATTTTGGCATACATAGACCAAGTGAACGCTCAGCATCAACAGAAGAGCGAACCCATGGACAAGTTTTAAGTGATTTTTTGATGCAATTGGAGGATTACTCTTCAAGTAAATAAATTTTTCGAGAGCTAATATAAATATTTTTAATATCAGTTTATTCACATTCTCTATATTATTATTATCTTTTAAAACCCTAAATATTATTTTTTACCCCCTAATTGCTCTATTATTTTTAAATGTTCTTAGCTATCCCTGATCCAGTTACTGCACATTATTTAAATACAGCTGGATTTGAAGCATCTGATCCAAGAATTGTGCGTTTAATTTCTATTGCTGCTCAAAAATTTATATCGGATGTAGCAAATGATGCTTTACAACATTGTAAGACTCGGACAAATAATGCATCGAACACTCCAGGTCATAATGCAAATAAAAATCAGAAACCAAGTAAAGATCGAAAATATACTTTAGCAATGGAAGATTTAACACCCGCGTTGAATGATTATGGTATAACAGTTCGAAAACCACATTATTTTGTTTAAAGAAATATAAGTTACTGCAGATATTGGTTTTAAAATTTAAAAAATCTATATAATTTTTCTAATTAGTTCAATTCTGTATGTTGACAAAATAATTACATAAGTTATAAAGATTTATAAAAGAAAAAAAATTCAATAAAGTTGTATGTATCTCAAAAATAATGATAGGTATAATGATTTAGAATTTATATAACACTAATCGTGTTCAACCTCAGGTATCTCATGTAATCTTCAGTTAATCACAATGGATTTATATTTTTTAATAAGTTAAATTTATTTACTACTTACGTGGACTACATATGTTTCATTATTTTTTATATATTCTTAAACACTTTTATATTTGATTTACACTCGTCTTATTTTAATTTGATTCAAATAATTTTTGACCAACACATTCAACTGTTCACATTTTAAATATGTAGTAACTTTACATACATATATTTTTATACAGCACTATAAATATAGATATAAATTGGATTTGTCCAATAAATAAATAAAATACATTTCATTAAATAAAATATTAAATGATTTATGCTTTTATATTTAAATATAAATAAAAGTAAAATAAAAGTTCAGATTCGAAGCACGCTTATCATTTAAGTACCTACACCTACACTCTTTTTATCAATTTTAATATTATGCATCATGTTTATTATGAATATAAGTAGACATATTACCAATTAATACAATATGTGTATGTAAGTAGAATTAGATACGTCTATATATTAGACTATAGATACATTCATTTTGCATAAATTATTTGAGTTTCAATATATGGGATCGTCATAAAGACATAAGTTTTACTCTACGTGTTACGAGCATGTGATCTAGCTTACACTGATTAGCAAATGCCAGCTACCTATACATACCTATACATTTATAAAGCCATTTAAAGTACTTTTTTATTAAATATGAATATAATATTATTATAGAGAAAAACTTGGACTCTATTTTATACACAAATTCTATTTATAATTTAAGTTAGTAGTTTTGTCTAGTTTTGTAATCAATTTAGATGTTTCAAAAAGACTATAGGTAATAACAATGTATCCCTTGAGTTCTTATACGCATATGTATATTGGTTTTAAAGTAATAAATTTGTTAAATTATAATTATGTAGGTATTTAAATAATTTATTTGTATGGTAATAAATTAAGTAAGTATAATTTGGATATTAGTTCTAATTTTCTTTATTTTTAGCTTGAAGATGAGGTTTGAAGTGTTGAGGTAAGCGTCAAAATTTTATTAATTTAAAATTTCCAAGTAAACCAAATCTATTTATGAAATTTGAATTTATAATGAATTTACGATAACCTATGTAAATATAATCTCATCATCGAAATATGTATAAAAATATTTAAATTCACCTACATATTATATAGTTCATCAAATTTGTAATAATAATCTATAGTATTTCAAACCAAATTTTCTATCGTAAATTGCCGTTTACGGTAGTAGAGAAAAATTTTTTGTGGATCGTAATTTTTTTTTTTTAATAAAAGCGACATTTACATAATTTGTGCAATAATAAGTATTTAATATGTTCTATTTTGCTATTAATATCACTTTAACCAGACATATTATGCTAATATACATAATAATCAATTTATTAAACATAAAATTGAATACATATTTGAAGTTCCCCCATATGGTTTTAAATTATAAACTGTGATAGTTATAGAAAAAATACAAAAAAAAAAAAAACTTGGATATCCATCCAGCAATAATCTTGAATCTTGATCAGTCTCCCATCATATGTACATACATATACATATATATACCTACGTTTTTATTGCTTTTTATCTTTCTATAAATTTATATTAAAATTTCATTTTTTTCGAATGAATTTCTTTATTCTTCTTGTTTTTATTTATTTTGATTTCGTAAAACTAAACCATTGAATATAAATGATTACAAAATATGTATGTATGTATGTATATATGAATATTAGGTTCATATCATTTTGTATAGAAAAAAGAATGATGAACTTCTAGCTTTTTATTGTTATTTCTCACACAGTTTTATGAGTTTAAAAAAAAAATTTGGTTTTTATGTACCCAAGGTTGGGGTGTTTAATTGAAAAATCGGTTAATGCAATTTTAAAAGTATAAGTGCAAGGAAATCCTAAGAAAACTATATAAAACTTATATTAGTTTAGGAAATATTGTATGTATAACGGTAATTCCATTGAAACTTCTATTTACGACATACCGAAACAACAATTTTCAATTTGAATTATGTATGTATATATGTATTTAAAACTTGCTTGTAATTAGTATACTATATCTCAATAATATACATAAATGATTTCTTTTCGCAAACATTCACTATTTAAATCTTTTGAAGTACATAATAAAGTTCGACATAATACCCCAAAACGTAAGTACCTATATTATATTCGTAACTTCGGAATTGTAGTAATACTGCATTGCTGCATAATTAAAAAATAACAAATTATAAATTGAATTTTGTATTACTGCAATTTTAAAGTCAAAGTATTTCAATTTAACACACTGCATTTTTTACCTCTCTGTGATTGCATATCCTTCAAAAAAAAAAAAAAATCCATAAGAAATAAAAGTTGTTTTAAAATTTTTTGATTTCTCTTAAATCACATCATAAGAAAGGTCAATTAACTACTTTGAAAAAAATTTAATAATTCTAGTACCCCCTGTAATGTGAATTGAATATTCTTATTCACGAATCACTACACTATACATACTATTCCCATGATATCGTTAAAATATTCAAAGGTATAATAATATATGAATACATACAGTATGTATATAAACATATTTATAACATATTAATATGATTTACATATATATACCTATATGTATGTTCGGTATATAAGTATGTATATGAAAATAATTGATATAAAACTACTTTGTATGATATGGTAGCTTCTTTAAAAATGCAACGATATATAATTTAAATGTTTAATTTATTTAGAAATATTCTTTCAAGACCGTCAGTCGGACCTAAATATTAAATTTTTTTAAAAGTGAAATTGAGATAACGGATCATATTTTGAAATTATTTTTTTGATTAAAAGTAGACGAGGTCGACTGCTGATTGAAGTGATATTTTTAATTTTTATAAGTGTATGTATAAAAATAATAAAATAAATTAAAATAATTATATATTATTAATTAATACATTTAACTATTGATTATTAATTAACGAATAAATAAAAGTAAAAAAAAAAGTTCAAAGTTATTATGCATTTACGGGAATAACGGTTTTTTAATTTTATTGTGATAATATTTTTATTTTTTATTCAAAAGCTGGTAAGTTCTTTAATTTTAATTTTATTTTCAAAATATAATAAAAAAACTAGTTAGTAGTTTTATCAACTTAATTTTAGAAAATAAAAAATTTATAATTAATTTTTGGAGATATCAGACTTATTTTTAAACGTTCTTACCACTAGTTAGTGTTCACGAAAATTTAATTCCTTTATATGTTCTCTCCGTTTTCTCGCATTTGTCATTTAATAAAAAATTTGTGTTTTTTCACTTTTTAACTGAAAATTTTAAATATTATAAATATAATAGGGTTTGATTCAACATTTTGGGGTATAGCTGTGTCAGATCTCATATATGTAAAAAATAAGTTGCAGATTAAGCAAAATAAAATATGAAAAATGATCTTTTGCTTTCTTTCTCTTTTACTTTTCGACTGACGCTCTTTGCATGATGTCGTACGACGTCACTTAAATTGTATAAGATAAAATTCATACTATTAATGAAAAATTTGCAAGTTACAGTTAATGCACCTTATCATAACTATTAATCTGTTGTCTTAAAATCATATTATAAGTTGTATAAGTTTTTGTTCAAATTTTCCTTGTATGTATGTACTTAAAACATTCTTTGATGAATTTATTTCTAACTCAATAAATATGTTATACATTTATACTGTAAAGGATATTTTCTTAAATCTCACAAATGATCTGTTTTCTAATTACTATCAAAATCTGTTTTTCGCAAATAAAGAAACTTAAAGAAAGAGAGATTCAAAATATTAAATTTCGACCAATTTTTACTAGGCAGGTAGATACTATAATAATATTATTTTTAATTTAATTAAGATGTCTACTATAATACAGAACTAACGTTAATTTGACTTGCTCAGCAATTTATAATTGTATTGCTGAATAAATAAAATTAACGTTAGATCTGCATTTTGGTAGATCTCCTTTGAGTAATATTTCAACAAACTTTAATTTTCAAATTTGCACATATTCATCCAGTATTTTCATGAAACTTGTAACAATTACAGTAAAGACTAAATCTGTGACTATTCACACGTATGCACCGTTAAATTTCGTTTCGTTTCTATTTTAATATTATATAAGTTTAATAATAAACTACTAAGTATATATTATTATTTTTAATAAAATAAAAAAAAATTAAATAATATAATAATAAAAACTTATAAAATTAAATAATTTAAAAAAATTATTTTTATTTTATAGATATCGCAGGAAAAACAAAAATAAAAAATAAAAAAAAAAAGATTTTATTAAGTTGCATAAAAACTTAAGAGATTTTTATTGCGAACAAAATGAGTACAAAGAAATTTAATATTGTAGTTCTTGAAAAAGGCGATCATATTAACACGATTACTATAAACAAATTAGAAAATCCAATTTTAGTAAAAAAAGAAAATAAAAATTTTAGATCAAATATTGCTGTCAAACGTGCGAACAGGCTACAAAATTATAAAATAAGAGCATTCATGTTAGCAATAATAATTTTAGTCAATTGTATTAATTTAATGGATGCAAATCCAGTTCCAGTTATGAGAAAATCATGCGGTCGTAATTTATCACAAAGAATTTATACAATTTGTTTAAGTTATGGCGGTATTTGCAGTTTTCCAACACGCGTCATTACCAGAAGTAAGTACATACATATGCATATATTAAAATAAATATTTGTAATTTAAAATTAGATTGTTAATATAAAATATAATATTTTTTTTTAATATTAGATTGATACATAAAGTAAATAGGTTGACCATTTTAATTAGAATTTCGCTAAGAGTCTGGCAGTTTTGCTATTTTTTTTGTATTTCGGGAAACATGTACGAATATTCAGGGAATTACATCAATATATTTTACATGTGTGCTAAAAACTGCTTTATTAAATTTATTTCACGTGAAAAAAAAACGAAAATTAAACGAAATCTCTCTAAAATTGAATAATTCTTCAATAGCTTCCATAAATTTTATTTTCATTATAATGAATTGCTATTTACAAGAGATATTAAAAAATTCTAAAATTTAAGATCAAATCTAAATAATTAAGGTCTTACAAAAATTAAGGTAATTTTGTATTCAACGGTAGTTCTGTAAAGTTAGCAGATGTTAGGTTTATATTTTGTTAAATTCCCTATTGTATTAAATATTTTTTCTTAAATATTTGAAGAAAATTTAAATGTTGTTCACAGCTATGAATTTGCATACGTGCTGGAACCTATTATGTTTTCAGTACTGTGTTATGATTAAAATGATCAGCCTACATACATATTTATATTTATTAACATTTTAAAAATAAATAATTTAATTTAAAATAATGTATAAAAATATTTTATTTAACACCTCAGATCATCCTAATCATCGAGCTAAGAGAAGAGTTGTAGATGAATGTTGCCGAAAAGCATGTCATGATGATTTTATTCAAATATATTGCTGTGATGCCAAACAATACCGTGTGATTGTTGATTATTAAATTAAATTAAAAATATAATTTTTAATTTTATAAAATATTTAGAAATTTAATGAAAATTCATCAGCTATATACATCAATTAGTTTTAAGTACTGCACATAAAAAGTTTTAATTTTAAATTTAATTCTAAAATTTTAAAAAATAAGTTATGAATATTTTTAATATTTTTACTTTTTCTTATAATAATATAAATATGTGATAATCTTATATATCTTTTTTTTAAAATGTGTGATAAGAATTTCTTGTATTTTAATTCTATTTGTAGCAATATAAAGTACATCGGTATTATAAACTGAATAAATGTATTTTTTTATTAAAATATTATTAAGTATGGCAGAAAATGTATGTGGAATAAAATAAATATTAAAATAAGCTGTTAATTGATATACATTATTCATACTTTTTCATAATCATACTATATTTTATTTCAGGAAATTTCCGAGAGGGTTGGAAATACAGTGGACTATTAATTTGTCCGTAATATTCCAGAAAAATTTTCGTGAGGGTAAAAAAAATCTGAACTAAACCATCAATGAACTTTCATATCTGTTATGCTATGCACATACTCTTTGCTGGATTAAATTCGTCACCTGAAATTTACAAAATTAATTAATTTAAGTAATAAACAGTTGTATTGAAATAACAATAATTTATCGACGTTATTCAGAAATCAATTTCTCTTTCTCCTTTCTTGCTTTTTCTTTCTTTTAAGGTTAAATTTCTAATTCTGATATTCAAGACATCAAAATGTCTTGCACTTTCTTTTTAGAAAGCTTTATGATTTAAATTAAATTAAAAATTTTGTTTGCATTCTAATTCTATAAAATTTTTATCATCAATTACTAAAAAAATTTTGAACTCTATTCATAAAAAGTTCAAGGCTCTAAATCGGTCTTATAAAAATAACAAAATTGATATTAGTGATATCAAATAACAGAAACCTGATAAAAAAATTAAAATGAAAACAAATTAAAATATTAATAGAATAAAAGTTAACTGACCTGTCTTGGTTTACCTTGCAATAAAGCTCAAAAATTCTTTAGTACAATGATATTCTTAAAATATATCTAAAGATCATATTAAATTAGTGATAAAAAGAAAAAGGTTAAACGCCACGAGGTCATTGATATAAAGCACAAATGATAAAGGCGAAATTTAATAATTTTTCATTGTGATCCAATTTTTAAATTTCACCAATATATTTAAAGAATATATGTAATTAAGTTTATAGCTTTTATTTTATAAAAATGCAGCCAATTGAAAAGGATATTTCTCTGATTGCTTTCAAAAAGTTTATATAAATATGTGCGAACATAAAGAAACTCAATTCACAATCAAAACAACAATAAGTTTTAATAATAAGCAATCAATTATAATATTATAATATATATTTTAAAGTTTTATTTAAATTAATATAACAGTCTCTAAAGATAGCATTCGTATTGTTATGTAATATTTTTAGTTTATTTTTATAGCAATTTAATTTGGATGAGATTGTTGGTAATCCATAAGTTTTTTAATATATATGTGATGATTACTTAAAGCAGCTAATAATCCTTTATCATTTACAGCACTATTTTTATCAGAATAATCGAGTTCTTCGTTATATAATGTAGTCATTTTACCACCTAAAGCATTTAAAATAGCATTTCCAGCACATATATCCCACTTTTTAATTCGTGTTGAATGTAGATATGCAGTAGCATTATTAAATATTACTTGAAGAACTTTATAACCAGCACCAGCTGCAACTAAAATTTTTGAGTTCTCTCCAAATACATTATGTGACAGATCTTGTACATCACCTGGATGTGATCTCGATACAGTAACAATTGGATTATCAATAAAGCTATCGCCCTAGAAGAAATTAAATAGATATACTTTGAATTAATGTAATTACATTCATTAAATTAACTTTAAGAAAAATGGTTTTAAATCACATATTTTTTTTTGAATATGGACCAGGTTCTAATGTGTGTTTTTTGAATACAAAATTCAACAATTGCGGCAAGAGTTTGGGAAGTTCGCAATTGTTATCAAATAAATTGTTTTTGAAGAAATCAAAATAGAATTAAATATTAGCATTTTTTTTACTATTGTCATTTTAACAGAATCCACGTAGACATCAAAATATTGTAAATATTGTACTCAAGCGAGAAATTTGGTGGTATAAATCTAATTACAATTGAACAAATAACTAATTCCATAACATACCTTCTTTATACCTTCAATATCATCTGATACTGCTTTGTTTACCCACGCCCACGTTGTTTTACCACTAAATGGACTATGTATAACACCAATTGTAGGGACACCTTTCACAGCGACACAAACCATCGTAGTAACATATTCATACAGCTTTTCTATATTAAAAATTTCAACATAAAAATTTTTATTTTGGAATATTTAAATTCACATTGCAATATCTAAATTCACCTGTATATTCTTGTGTGGCATCTAATGGATCGATCCATACTGTCACATCTTTTGTATAAACTATTTCATCCGGTACTAAAGCATTGGGTGATAAAACGGATAAATCAACATCAAAATTTGCCACATCATCACCACAATCCGTTTGACCATGATCTTCTTCAGATATTATTTCAATATTTGAAAATAATCTTACAAGGCCATTTTTCATTACGCAATGAGATCTAGCGTCAGCATCAGTGACAGGATCATCAGCACCTTCTTGTGTCAAACCTTTACTTTTTTGGTTTAAATTACGGCTTTCTGCAACTGCCAAAACTTCATATCCACCACGTTGTGCAGCACTAATAGATCCCATTAATAATTTTTTCAAATTAACCACATTAGGAGATCTTAAAGCTCCCGCATAAGACTCATTTGATTCGTTTGATGGCAAACATAGATAAATTAAAGTGATAACAATTAGTGTTAACAAAAGAATCCCGGCTCGGTTAATTCTAATTCCATTATGAAATAACATTTTTAAAATAATATTAAATGGTCCAGCAATTTTCATACAATAAAACTTTACTAAATTTACTTAAAACGATTAATCTTGACGTTTTAACTTGTAAGCGCCGAACTTTGTATTTAAACTTCTTTGAACTTTAGAATTATTATTATTTCTTAACACACAGGTATTTAACACATCTCATTTTTGTACTTAAATGTAAGCTGGTCTTCGCAAAAAAATAAAAAAAATATGATGACGATATCAAGAATAAGATATGTAAACAAAACAGCAGGTAAATAAAAACTTGAAAATTTTGGCATTTATTTGTTGACATTCGTTTTTTTTTAATTCGTATTAGAACATTTTTCTCTTATGTAATAGATTTTTGTTTTCCAGATATTCATCTGATAACGAACTAGTACCGTAATTAGAAAGTATTATTAAATTGAAATTAAACTAGAATTAGGCTATTGGAAATTTTTATGAGGATATAAATTTTGTAAACAATTTAGAAAACTATAAAGAATAACCTTTGATTTTATTTACATTAGGATTCCCTTCTCTACTAGAGAAGATAGGTAGAGAGAGAATGCAACTACAGTTTAAGGTTGCTAAATAAACATATAAGCATATTACCATTCGACTGAATGAAAAATATTTTTGCAAATTTTAGAAATTTAATATATTGCACTTTATAAGATATTTTAGCTATACATATTTACACATGAAGAAAACTAAAGTTAAAAATTTATCAAAAACTCATAAAAAATAAACTGAAAATTATTCTTGTGGCAGAACCTTGTATGGGTTTAAAATATTTTTTGGATCTAACATTGTTTTTATATTCCTCATTAAGTTGATTGCTTCATCACTTTTAGAAAACGGTAAATATTTTGTTTTCAAAAATCCTATTCCATGCTCAGCACTTACACTTCCTTTTAGTTTTGAAGTATACTCAAATACAAAAGGTTCAATTTTTCTATAAATATCTTGTGAAAATCCTTTGCATGCAACATTTAAATGAAGATTAGAGTCCCCTATATGACCGTATCCACATACATCAACATCAAAGTTTTTCATTCTTTCTCTCATAACCAACACAATTTTGTAAAAATCCCTTAATGGCAAAGATATGTCATATTTAAAACAATATCCATCCTCAATCAAAGATACGGGAACCAATTCTCTAATTTTCCAAATTTCAGATATTTTTCCTGGTTCTCCAGTAAATGTTCCATCTAAAATCTCACCATTTTCCATACCATTATTTAAAAATATATTGAATTTCTCTTCATCGTGTTTATTGTTACTACCTGAAGTTTCAATTAGCATATAAAATGGATATCCTGATATTGGAGGATTTAAATTAAATGTTTCAACACTTCTTTTAAAAGATATTTCATCTATTAATTCACATGCTGATAATATTTCTCCTAAATATTTTTTTGCCTTCACAAAAGTTTTTAAAACAGCTTCAAAAGATGGTAAAGCTATAAAGGCAACATTTATTGAACTAGATATTGCTGGACATAATACGGCTACTTTTGTGATAATTCCTAATGTTCCTTCGCACCCAATAAATAAATGTTTTAAATGATAACCGGTATTATCTTTTTTAAAGTTTGACATTAGATCCAAAATATTTCCACTAGCCAAAACGGTCTCGATTCCTAAAATAGATCCATGAAGGCTTCCATAACGTATGACACGTAAACCACCAGCGTTAGTTGAAGCATTTCCACCAATTTGGCAAGTAGATTTGGCACCCAAGTCTAGTGGAAAGCGAAGTCCGTGATTTTTAGCTTCATTCTCTAAATTTTCTAAAATACAACCTGAACCACATGTAATTATACCAGTAATTTCATCAACACTATAAATTTCATTCAGTCTTTGCAATGATATTATAATTTCATCAAAAACTGGAACTGAACCCCCAACCAATCCCGTATTTCCTCCTTGTGGGCAAACCGCTAAATTTCGCGAATAACAATATTTTAATATTTGCGATATTTCAATTTCATTTTTAGGTTTTAATAACAGTTGACTGTTCCCCCGACAACTTCTTAAAAAATCAATGTTGTTGCCTTCAATATCATCTGAATTCGTAACAACATAAGACTTTCCTATTTGATTTTCGAAAAAGCTGATATCTTTATCATTAATCACAGAATAATTATTTCTCTTGATTTTGTATCGATCTTTGGTCAGTTCAACAGCGTTGTGGTTTCCTTTGTAATTTCTTTTTACTAATTTGGCACTAGATAAAATTAGTGAATATTTAACACGAATGCTGGAAAACATATTTTGATATTTTCTAATTTTATCTCATAATAATAAATTAATCCAATTGAAGTAAAATGACCTTGAATGCTTTGTTATTGTTTTATTATTTATTATCAAAATTCAAAAGTAAAATTTCGTAAACAAAAGTAATGTCAAAAATTTTCGCCGAATTTGGTACGGTTTTTTTTTGTTGGTAGCAATGATTAATATGTGGACGACGATTGTTACTCCTGTGGTTGACATATGTACGTTTTATTCGCAACAAAGATCTGATGCAAATACTAGAATACCGTATAAATAAAATCGACGTTTTAAGAAAATCCTTGCAGTAAATATGATTTAACTATATTAAAAGAAAAAAGTAATTAGCTCGTCTTGAAATCGAAATCGAGTTTTAATACAAATTTTGAATTTGCCTTTCATTAAACCATCAGTGAAATGAAAAAAACATCTTAAGTCTTAATCTTGACTTTTCAACTTAAGAGGTTTTGTTTCGAGAGCACAGAAATAATTTTTATTTGTTTCGCGCAATTGTTTACAAAAAAAAATAAAAAATGTTAGTCTAGAAATCTGAATTTATTTTTGTTATTAATTTTCATGTTTTTGTGCTTTTAAATTGCATTTTTATAAATAATAAAAATAATAAATGAAAAATTACTCAATATTTCTTAAATTGAATTAATTGAGAATGGAAGACTCCGATTATTTTTTAGCATTGAAATTGCAAGAAGAATATGACAAAGAACTAAATGTAAGTACATACTTAATGTAGTACATATTCCATTTTTTTTAAATATTCAAAATTCAAGAATATTCAACCAACTGAAATAGAATCTGATAAGGATCCTCCTTTTAAAATAAGCTCTAAAAAGCAAGCACCAAAACGTAAAATATCTGAAGAATTTGATCTAAATAGTACACAAAACTTAGTCCATCCGGAATGGGAAACATTAGATCCAACACCAGATATTCATGCAATGTTCTTAACGTTTGATAACAAATTCTTTCAAGGGAGATTAAAATGTGTTACTTTAGAATGGAGCAAAAAGATGTATTCGTGTGCTGGAATTTGTTACTCAAGGCGTAATTCTATGGGAATGGCCATAACAATTAGATTAAGTGAACCTCTTTTAAAACTTAGACCGAGAAAAAATTTAATTGAAACATTATTAGTGAGTTTAAAATATTTGATTTCCATTTTATTATTAATTTAACTACATTTTTGCCAGCATGAAATGATACACGCTTATTGTTTTGTTCTTGGAATACGGGAAGGTAATGGAGGACATGGTCCCAACTTTAAAAAAATTATGTATGGAATCAATAAAGTGGCTGGAACTAATATTACAGTAAATTAATTATTGAATAACAAAGTTTTTTCCTTTTCTTAGTTTTCATAAATTTAAGGTATATCATACATTTCATGATGAAGTTGATTTATATAAAGTACACTGGTGGCGATGTAATGGAATATGCCAACATCGGAAACCTTTTTTTGGATATGTGAAACGTAGTAGCAATCGGGCTCCCGGTCCTAATGATTTTTGGTGGAAAGCTCATATGGAATCATGTGGTGGTGGTTTTTTAAAAATTAAGGGTCCCGACCCAGTGAAAAGAAATAAAAAGTTTAAAGATGAAGTAAAAGGAAAAGATATCAGAAATTATTTTGGGAATGTAAATTCTTCTACAAATTTATCGAATGGTTTTAAGACTACGTTTAAAGGTATGTCTTTTTTTTAAATCAAGAAATAATATTCACTGCTGTTGTATTCTTTTAATTTTAGGGCCTGTAAAAGCGAATGGTGGTGGAACCCTTCTTATAAATCCAAGAACAAAAACTTTTACTTCAACTAAAAATATTGAAGATAAAAACAGTAATTCTTCTAAAGTAACCGGAGGTAGCTTAAAGAATGTTATCGGGTTAAAAGATCTTAGTAAGTTGCAGAAATATATATTTAATTTTACATTTTTATAACTATAAATATTTTAAAGGTGACGAGCCCTCTAAAGTTGTAAAAAAGAAATCAACCCCTAGTAATCAGTTTGCTGGTACTAGCCAAGGATATTGTTTAAATAGTTCATCAATTTCAAAAGAACCAAATAAAATCCCAAGTGATTTTGTCGATCGTGATAAAATTCGTCAAATTTGGTCACAAAAATTTTCTTCGCCAATGGAAAAGGAAATGACTAAGCCATGTGAAAAAAAAGAAATTGAATCAAATAGTGAACCAGTTACGGAAATACCTATCGAAGAAAGACGTTCATCTGCAGAATGGGAAGTCTTAAGTGATGATATATTAATCAGAAGTATAAAACCAGAAATAATTAGTCTAAGTGATGATGAAGAAAACGAAGTTGATGAAATTCATGAATCAGAAAGGCGTATACCCGCTTCGGAGTCGAAAACTGTCCTTACCCAAGAACAACGGCAAATTCAAATTAAAAAAGAAATTTTGGATAATTCAGATTTATCGGATGATGATATTGAATTAATAGACGACGATTATGATGATTCACTAACAAACGTAGTTGATTTAACAGATACCTCCTTAATTGATGATTTCTTTGGAGATGATGTTCTCTTAAAAGACTTTAAAATAGAAAACTCACTAGTTCCATGTGGATCACGGTAAGTTCTTAGCTTTTAGAAGTATTTTAAGAAATTAAAAAACCCATAACATAATATTTATCTACATATCTTTTTTACATAGCTCTTTGCCAGACCCCAACAAAGATATTGTCACTTGTCCTATATGTCAAAGTAAGATAACAAGAGAACATTTTGAGAATCATTTGGATGGTTGTATAGGAATTAGTATTAAAATAGAACCAAAATCTTATGGTGGTAGAGTAGTTCCTGGATCTCGAATAATTCACCCATCGGTAAAGAAAAAAGAAAAGGTTACCGCTACACAAGAAGAAATTTTACGCAAAGCGGGTTACTCCGAGCAAGAAATTAGCAACATTAAAATAACACACATTGATACAAGTATATCCGACGATCCAGATTCCTATGATGAAAATTTGACAGAAGGCCAACGACGGCGAAAGGGATTGACCACATCAACACATCAATGTCCAGTTTGTGGCAACGAAGTCGATGTCAATAAAATAGATAATCACCTAAAACGTTGCGGTCAGGATTTGTCACCTAGTGCAGTTATACAAATTTCTCCCACAAAGAAAAGAAATTCAATTCCAAAAACAAGCGAAGGGAATTTGTTTCAAATTTGTCCTGTTTGTAACAAGAAAGTAAGAGCGCATACTATGAATGAGCATTTAGACTTATGTCTTGCCGATTCTTTTGATGATTGATTTTGTTTGAAAAATTCGTATAAATTACATAAAAATTTCATTTTTGATTTTTATTTACATACATACTTGTTTTGTTTTTTATTTGTGTACCTCAAGTATATTACAAATTAACTTTAGAAATATATTACAAGTTTAATCAAATAGTTCACATAAGCTTTCCTAAATATTGAGTTTTTCCACTTTCCAGTTGGGGCCACTGTACAACAAACATATCTACAATGTGTAGTAATATTTTGCCAGTTAATGAAATAGTGTTAACGCGACAATAACTTTCTAAAAATACAATTTTGCAAGATTTTGGAATTATGTGCATTTTTCGAAATAAAAATGCTACAAGACAGATAGGAACACAAGTCCCAGGACCATTACATAAAACTAAATCAGGCTGTATTTTATAAATTAACGGAAATGCTGATAAAATTGCTAATAGTGTGCTAAACACTGATGAAAAATAATTTTGCTTAACTTCTCTACTTCGATGTATCTCGTACAACTCAAAAGATTTGTCAGATAATGCTTCTTCTATATTTTTTATTTTATTTTTGCTAGTTTTATCAGTATTTGCAACGACGTAAACTCTTGGAGTGTACTTTGTTTTGTCCAAATTTTTTACTATTTCAACCATTTCTGCAGTATGTCCACCAGAACCAAGAACAATTAAAGTTCTTGCAGGTTTATTTCTCATTTTTTAATTTCACTGTAGTAAAACTTTGAAATAATAATGTAGAAATATTAACAGCAACAAATTAACACAATTTATAATAGGAAATTTAATGTTTACCTTTTCTGTTTTGATTTTTGAAATGTACTAAGTATGTCAAACCCGTGAATTGCTGTCAATAAGTTTTGACGTTACTTTCATATCGAATTTTAAATCTTACATTATTTAAAATTGTTATTACAATCCACCTAGTGAGATTTTCGCCTACCTACATAGTTAAGTATTTTAAATGCTTTGTTCTTTAAACAAAGCATTTTGAAGTAAAAACTACAAAACAATTTCCATCTGTTCTGTAGTTGTGTGAAAATTTCGTTATTTATTTCTAAAGGAAATAAAAAAGTAAACAAATACAATTTGTTATTATTTCTCTGTATTTCGGTACATACAGTTAAAAAGTTTATGAGTACTTTATAAAGTCCTTAATTTATTTCTTTATTCTAATAAAAAAAAATAAATTAATTTCTGCTTTTTACATTTTGCTGTAAATTTAGAAAAAAAATTATTTCTTATTGAAGTTAAGTAGAAAATAGAAGCAGATGCGAATTACAATTGGATGCGAATGAAGCGAAAATATCGCCGCGGTAAAGTATCCTAAATGTCGTCTTACCGCCGGCGTGTTTTTTGAAACTATCTGCTTTCTTGGAATTGTAACATTATATGCAAAATATTGAAAATTTATTTTACTGTTCTGTTGTTGTTTAGTGCTTTGGCTCTATATAATTGCTACATTTACTGCAAAAATTTAGTAAATAATCAAAATAATGCATTATTATAAACTTGTTACAAATTTTATAAAAATAAATCTACTACAAAATGTCAAAAAAATAAGTGAGTACTAGATTATTTCAAATTCTTCATAAACAGCTGATTTTTTGAAAACGTCAAACAAAGAAAATATACACAAATTTTTCAGTTTTGCCAGCTCAATACGAAATTAATGTGAAAAATTTTAATATTATACTAATTTAATAATTATTTTTTTTAAATTCAGTAAATTCAATTATATTTTTAATGTATGTCAGATTATTTGTTACTTTTATACTTGAAATTTCAAATTTTATGAAAATTATTGAAATAATTTGAAAAATTCCTTAGCAGTTTATTAGAATGTAAAAAAAGAGTGTTAACTCAAAAATAAAAAAAAAGAACGAAAAAAAGAACGAAAACAAAAATGTCGTGGTTAAATAATAGTTTTAATACATTAAAAGGTCAGCTAACAAATTTAGCACAAGAAGTTCTTCATGAAGTTCAAGTTTCTAGTGATTTGGAAAATGAAGCACAACAAGTACACCAGCAGCAGCAACAGCAACAACAAAATTTTTTGGAAGAATCAGCTATCGATAGTGCAACCCAATTAGAATTAATTGAAGAATCACAAAGAAAAATAGATGAATTAAATAATTTATGTGGAAGTAAGGATAACGAGGTAAGTAAATAATTTTCTTTAATTTAAAGAATTTAATTTACTATGAGATAATTATTTTTTTTTTAGAATCTTTTTTTCTTTTTATTGATTCTTCTATCGTGTCTATATGCATATTTATATATATATCTACTTGTATATATGTATATATAGGTAGTCAATAAAATTTATACTTGTATAACTTTACGAGGAATCCATTATTGTCTACCTATAGATAGATATTTACTTACTATGTTGTATACTTTTCTATAAATTGTGATGAATTTATTTCACTATCCTTATAGATATACATATATAAAGTGTTTTTTTGTTACATTATATTGATTTATCAAAAAAAAAAAGTTTTGCAAGCAACTAATTCTATTAAAAGTTATTTGGACAGCACCAAGATATTTTTCCAATTTTAATTGAGAAATTATAATTTTATAATGTTGAAATAGGGATAATTAGAGAGCTCTAGGTAGGTAAACCGTTATTCAAATAATTTTTGCATTTATTCAAGTGTTTGAAAATCGAATCCTTTAATTAATCCTTTAATTATTGAAGTTAAATTTATACTAGGATGGTAAATACAATATAGTATAGGTGTACCTACACACAATAAATTTATCTTATGGTTTAAGAATAAAATGTTAACTAAAAAATTTTTACAATGTAAAAATTTTATGTTTTAATTTTAGTAATTGTAAAAGACGATTGAATTTCTCTTGTATATCTATAAAATAATCTATAAAATAATTATTATAGTTTTAAAATTTTAAAGTTTTAAGCTTTAAGTATACTTAATTTGTATTAAATTACTATCAATAAATTTAAATTAACATTGACCTATTTTATTTTTTAGGTATACTTGCCTACCTACCTGTGTAGGTACCTATCTATCTAATATGTTTACATGTTATAATCCTAGTTTTAGAGGATTTAAATATAATGTACTTATTAATGAAAAAAATAACAAATATCAATCAAATCGCTTTGCTTTAAACATAATGAAATACGCCAATATTTTGAAACAGATGAAATATTATGTTGGTTTTTGATAGTCTTAAAATTCATGACAACACTTTAATAGTTTTGATAGGATTTGAAAATCTTAAAAGATTCTCAAAAATTTTAGAATTTTCTAGTTATAGTATTTAAATAGGTAATAAGTACCTATCAATTTATTGGTACATTATTTATTTACTGCAAAAATTTTTAAGAAAAATTGAATTTGCTATAAGAAATAAAATAAAATATTAGACACTTGACGAGCAATTATTCAAAGTAATTTTAACTAAGTGATGAATTAAATTGTATATTCAAATATTTAATGTATTATATATACATATGTACAATGTAAATAGGTAGGGTAGGTAGGTATTTGTATATTTTATAAACATGCGCTTTTTCATCTTACATTTAGCTTAAACTTTAGAGTGCAAAATTGTTTTTTAATTTTTTTTTACGTTTCGGTTTACTCAACTTCTTTCTTCAAAATAAGACAAAGCAAAGATGTATTAATCTTATTTGTTTTGCCTGCATTTCTATTATTTTAATATTTATTATTAAAAAACTTATATCTCCTTCATATTATTTAAATTGAAAATTTAACCTAAACTTTATAAAATCAGATAAAAGCTAATTGTACGGTTCCCTCTTTAAAAAATCAAAACAATGAATGAACTTGTTTCGTGGGAATTCAATAATTGTTTTGAAATTTTATAAGAAATTCGAAATATTAGTCTTAATTATTTTTTAAACAAAAATTTCTTACTATAAATTGTATATTTATACTTATTTACTGTGATAGAAATGAATTGTCATCGTTGTTATTATGTGCTTATACGATAAAAGATGATGTCACGTGAAGTCATAAAAAATAAATAAGTAAATTTAATAGGTATATAAGTAATTATTATTTAAAACTAGGTACCCAGGTACCTATACTCGCTCATTCAAATAAAATATTCATTATTTCAAATTATTTTACAAATATTACTTGATTTTATTACTATAAAAGATATATGTATTTAATAATAGTTTTTTCGAATGAATTCTAGTATAAAATGTAAAATGTTTTTCTATTTCTATAATAGCCCATATCCATTAATAATTTCGTATTTCATATTTGTGTGAAATATAAATTGAAATATTTATTTCTTTTCTGTTTTTTTTTTTTGTTATCGGAATTCATTTACAGATAGCATTGCTTCGTAAACAAGTTAGTGATTTACAAAGCCGTTCATCATCGAAAACGGTAAGTAAATCTTACAAAAAATTGTTTTATTTTCATATTAGAATTTTCAACAAAATAGTAGTAGATGAATTAAAGTTTTGGAAACTCGTAGTAATTATTAATAATTAATGAAATTCAAAATTTATTATTGTTTTTCTTGTTTTAATTTATTTCATCATTTTTCTGTTTTGTTATTACATTATTTTTTAATGATTTTCTTGCGTTTAACATTCGTAGTTAATAAAGTTGTTTATCAAGTTTTGAATTTGTGTGATGAAATTTTTTAAATTTTAAGGCCTTTTCATTAACGCGTAAATTGCGATATATTTGTATTCATAAAGAAATGCTGCTAACCTAATTTGTTAATAAATATGCCTAATTTTTCGTAATATAGCAAGATTATACGCCTAGCTGACGTTTTTAAACGGTGGATGACCCCTGACAATTTAAAAATTTAAGTCTAGCATTAAGTACATTAAAAAAAATATTTAGAGAAAATACTAAAATATAAACATAAATAAAATGGATATTATGCAAAACAATTGATAAATTAAAGTGAATTTATTCTTTTATACAAGCTTTTGGATTTAAATTTTGTTGTTTTTCTTATTAATTAAAATTTTCAAAAATTGCTTTGCCATTTGTTTAAGAATACTTTTTATGGGGCGTTTTAACAGATATAAAGCATTTTTATCTTTGTTTTAATGTTAAAATATTAAAAAATTTTATTCCAATTTCAAAGAGTTACTTCATAATATTAGAGTCAGAACAAAAATAACTTAATAAAATCGGTAAAATATCGTGAAAGCCTTAATAATTTTATTATTTTTATTCATACAAAATATTAGATAATTAAAATAATGGTAAATATTTTGCTCTCACATTGTTTACTTTTTGTGAATTGGAAGTTAAATACCGGTCCGATGTCAATTTATTTTTGATTTTGGTAAAAGTTGAAAATAGAGTGTATTAGAAAAAAAATATATTTTAATACAAAAATAGATAATTAAACCAGCAATTAATTTTATTTGGGTAAATTTTTAAAAATTAGTTTTTTCATTTTAAAAATTCATTGACAATTTGAAAGGGATGTAGGTCTTTGATATTCTACTATTGAACTGATTTTACTTGAATACTGATTTAATTTTTGTCTTTTTTAAAATATATGCACATTATTTGGAATGTAGGTTCTTATTACTGAATTTGATAACATTAAATTTTATAATATTAATTTAAGCTGACCGATATTATTTTTGTAATTGAGTTCGGGACAAACAATGTTTAGTATATACGTAGATTACCAAAATAGGCGGTTGTAAATTGATTTGCAAAAATATCCCTTAAAATATTATTCGTAAATTAAAATTATAATAAACATACATATACACATTATTCAATCAATGTATCTTGTATTATCAGCTGTAACAGCCCTAAAAAACATTATTATTAAAAATTTACTACTTATAAGAAAAAAATCAATTTCAATAAATTTTTAAAAAAAAAAACTTAGAACTCGTGATATGGTTTCGTGATCATATTAAAGCGTAACCCGCCAATAGAGCAGAGATTGTTCTGGAACTGATAAATAGGCTACTTACAGGCTAATATATTACCTTTAAATTTTCAATTAGTCAAGTTTTTTTTGTGAACTTCTATAACAACTGGTCTTATGGTGTTAGGTATGCACTTATATAAATTCAAAAAAATAAAAGAAGAATAACCAATTCTAATATCGAAAAATGTTAATAGTTTTTAAACAAAGTGGTTTAAACAGTGAACGTTGTTTGTATGTTCCGTTTTTTATTTGTATAGGAAACGATTCAAGTTAAATATTTTCTCTTCAACTATTTAGAGTATAAGAGTACAAGAGCACGTTGAATTTTTGTCGCTTACTTAATTAAATATCTGCATTCATTTATCATTTTTATTTACTATGAACGTAATATTTCTTTATTATTTAAAATAAAAATTTTAACGAAAGTTTTATATACAAATCGTTAAATAAAAAACAAGCCATTTGATTCCTAAACAACAAAAACAGAAAGAGAAACGAAAAAAAAACCACGAAAAATAAATGTGGCGCGAATAAAAAACGTTTGATAAAATTCTAAGAAAAATAAGAACACATTTTTTTTTTTATATTTTTGCTTTTTTTATTATTATTAAATGATAAAAATTGTTCATTTATTTTTTACCTTATCTTTAATCAAATATTTAATTTTTTGATATAAAAATAAGGTATGCACGTATAGGTACCATATTTGTTTTTGTTATTTCGGTTCTTCTGCGTACATACCTATATATGTACGTATGATTACATATTAGTATAACAATAATATTATGCATACAAACCTTTGTACATATATGTATGTACAATAAAAAATAAATATGTGTAAATATAAATTATCTGTATTAAAAATTAAATTGAATTATTTACAGAATGTCATAAAATAAAAAACGATTTTTCAAAAATTAGTTAAAAAATTAAAAAAAAAAATTATGTTTGAATACAATATTTTTGGTATTGAAAGATTCGTATTTCAACTTACTTAATTTATTTTATTTTCAATATTCGATGTTTGTATTCGGCTTGGGAATGTATGTATGTATAGCATGCAAAACCAACGTAAATATAATTGCAAAAGCAGAACCAAAGCGGTGAACGACTTCCGTTATTAACCCAGAACATATGATGTCAAAAAAGAACCGCCAGGCGTAAAATAGGAATTTTAGCTTCTTTAGCGTCGGCTTGATTCTGGGCAGTCCTATTTATGCACGTGTATTCTGTATGAATTTTGATATTACGCTGCGCAAGATGCCGCTGTTCTCAAATTAAAGAAAATCAGACAAAACTATTTTATTATGTATTAAACAGAAATTTTAAATGATTTTTAATATTTTATTATAAATTTAAATAAAATTTTTATAAAGATGGGTCAAACCAATAGTTTGTAAAGTAAACTTTTTCCTTGAACTAGTAAAATGCTTTTAAATACTGATTTTTGATGCTGCTTTTAAAAAACAATCTAAATTACTTGACAATTTAAATTACTTTCAATTCATAATAAAGCAAAATATTTCAAGTGATTGTATACATATGGATTGAGTTCAAGGGTTAAATTAAGAGAAATAATTATGTCTTTTAATGGCATGGAAATTATCCTTAGCATACTGCATTTATAGAAATTTAAAAAATCTTGCAGTTTCGGAAATATAAGGTGACAAAAATTCGAATTTTAGAAATTTCGAGAGGAGACAACTTGAGAGGGGATCTATGTGGAAAAAATAAGCAGAAACTAATAAGCAGCTTTTTCGAGTATTTTTTTGGAAAGCAAGCTGTAAAAGAGAAAAGTTTTGCCTTGGCCTATGCAATTTATTAGAATTTTAATTCAAAATTAAAATACTGAAAATACAAAGTTAATGTATTTTATATTTCGTTCAGGTAGGTTACTAAATTTTTGTGGATAATTTAATTAAAATTATATTACTTTAAAATGTTATGCTAGTATTTTATTGTGAAACGTGTGTTTACTATTCGATTGTATGATTTCAATTCTCTGAAGTATTAGTACCAAAATAAGTAAAAAAGGTGTAAAAATATGATATTTGTATAAAAATGGAATATATTAAAAATTTTTTGCAAAATCATAAATTTTAAAAATTTCAAAACATTCTGTAGGTATGTCATAAATTGTATATATACATTAAATTATGTATGTACTTTTATATATGAACGTTACTTATACATTTTTCTTTTTCAATAAAATATAACTAATAATTTGTTTGATTCAATGTAAGCCATTATATTGTGAGATATTGCTAGCAATAGCGCGTTATGTACATTTTCATTAAAAATATTGTCATTCCTCGTATCTTATTTTCTTTTCCTTGATAACTTTTATATACGAGTAGTGTACATTGTACATAACGCGATATATGAATTTTGCTTTTCAATGGGGAACTTTGTATTTATTCTCGTATTCCCATCATATATGTAAAATGTATTCGAATGATGTGGTTTTTAGGGTGTGCTTTTAATATACATATATTCTATATTTTGGATGTATGTATGTAGTTGTTGAATTTCATATCGTATTTATTTAATTTAATTTTATTTTACATTGTTAAAAAATTTTCCTTATCTATTTGGAAGAATAACTTTATTTAGACACTATTTTTAGGGTTTTAATGCTATTTTTTTTGTGTTATATATGTAGGTATGTGTGTATGTATAATTTTGGATTATTATTTTGAACGCGTCCTTATCTAATGGGAAAATTATGCTTTTAATGATTTTTTTTCCCAATATTCAATTTAATTTCCAAGAAGCTTATAATTATAATAATGCATAAATTTTTCGAAATTATCTATAAAATTTTTTTTTTTGTGCAAAATTTAAAAAGTTTTACGAATTTTTTTTTTTCAAAAATGAATTGCAAATTTGATAAATTGATGAATTTGGATCACTAATTTTTTACTTCAATTAAAATTAAGTTGAAAGTTTAATGTACATTTAATTTACAAGTTTATTTGCAAGTTCTTACAGCTATTGCAGACTTTCAAATGATTTCGGCCATAAATGTTATATAACACTGTTTCACTTATTAGATGCTTTGTTCACATTTACGGACCACAATATGTTTATTATTAAGTTGGTGTTTATATTACCAAGATAGAGTTCAAACGTAAATAAAGTTTGAGAAACGCATAATAGAAAAAAATTTGAGTTTGACACAAATAGTTCAAGTTTTACTTAGTTTCAATTAGGTGTCAAATCTCAACGATTTTCTAAGATTTTAACGAATTCCACGAAGTTTCTACTTTCCCAAGCTTTTTTGCTTACAAATTCCTTTTCGAAAAAGATAGAAGGTTCACCCAAACAGTTTTTTAAAGTATTAGCAAAGGGCTAGAAATTTACATTTTATTTGATTTTCTATTTTATGTACAAGCTTTACTTTAAATCTCTTATAATACAGGAAAAAAAAGGAAAAAAAAACTATTTCTATTTCAAACCTTTTGAG